CCTGTGGGATCTAACGCTGTCTCTAGGCAGGTAGTGAAGCAGGGTTTTTTGGTGTGTGTTTTTGTGTGCGCGCCGGGATCTTGATCTTGTAGCACTGAAGGATGGAGACACGGACCAGAGAGGTCAAGTTTGCAGCAGAGGATAGTTTATTAGAGCAGAAAGTAACAGCTCTCAAAACAAGAGGGGGTCCCGACTGGGGTGCCCACTAGTTAGAGCAAAGGATTTGTTTTTATACCTTTTGGGGAGAGGGGCTGCTTGGTGCCTCTTGGCACTATTATCAAATTTACATTGCTGTTTAGCCCAGAGGAGGTGTTTTCTCGAAACTGTCTAATTTTCTTAGAGCTTAATCAGTTTAATCATTGTCTCTGTTCTGAGAGGAGTATGTTAGTGGAGACTGTGGCTTTGAAGATAGGACTCCTGACAGGATTATGTTATGCTAATCAACCTCTTCAGATACCTATTCTACCTGGGGATCCCTGACTTTTTGTCATAGGCTTGGAAAAAAAGCTTTTCCTCCTCCCCCACCTGAGTTGGTCACTCTGGCGGGCCCTGTGACTTAAACCTATCTGTCAGCTAATAAAATTATTTCCCTGGCTTTATTATGGTTTCCACCCTGATTCCCTCTACCGTGGCAATTTCCCTGATTGCCTGTAATTTTTCTATCTCAGTAGTGTCAGAATTAAGTTAAATTGTAGGACATCCAGCTGATGTTGGAGAATTGATGGATGTGGGGAGAAACACCCACACATTTGATGACCAGAAGTGAAGTATTCTGTGAGTAGACTTGTGAAGAAAGCATAAGAGTTTTTCCCTATTCAACATATTTTCTGGGACAGTGAGTTAAGGCAAATTCAATTAATATTGTAAAACTTAATTTTATGATACTACAAAGAAACACTGCTTATTAGAAACAGAGTACCAGGCTGGTAAACTCATTCCTGTCCTATGTATAGAATGGGGTCCCTTCAGTTTACTTCCCAGATGGTGAAATTGCGGAACAGACCCAGGATCAAGGATTCTTGTTTTTGTTTCTCTCCTACCAGCCTCAGGGCCGTGCTGCTCTTACAGTTTTTGTTGGAGACATAATGTTTAATTCTTCAGGCTGAGAGGAGGAAAATACTTTAGCCTTTCTCTGGGTATATGCTCTTTGTGAGATGCAATCATTTCGAGCCATATTTAGTGATTATATCTTAAGAATCCAGCCCCTTAAAAATGGTAAGAGAACTACCCGTCAGGGCAAAGAAGAGAGGTTTTATTTTTTCACTAGATGTTGGGATGAAAGAGGAAGTCCATTTATAAATAGGAGAACTTGGCATTTGCAACATGCAGTCTCCTTAAGAGGAAGCCTCAGGAGTTCCAGTCACTTGTCCTGGGCCTGGATGGTCCTGCTCAGAGCATCTGGCTTGGTAGGGCCTTGCTAGCTTTGTGGACACTTAGATGTTTCTGTGTTATTCTGTCTGTGTTGGAGGTAGTGGGTCACTGCTTCTCTGGGCTGCAAGTACAAGCTGACACTGAGATGGAACCTACGAAGCAGCCAATGGACTGATGCTTTCGCTCTGCTAGTTGAACACTGGCACGGAGAGGGAAGGTTCTCCCCGAGTTGGCTTCCTCTCCTGTAAGAAGATGCTGGTTAATCAGAAGACTTAGGACTAAAGCCAGAGGGTTGTTTAGAAATGAAAGGCAGATGTTTTTTCCTGGCAGTGATTTGTGGATGAGCCAGTACCACAGGGCTCTTTTCTTTTTCTTTTTTTTTCAATCAACAGGCAATCCAGATCATAAGTGGGAAACTGTCTCTTAATGTAACCCTTTGGTTCTTTTGTTCAATTAATAATTGTGATGGTCTGCACTTGCTAATTACTTCATGTCATCCTAAGAGACAAAAAAAAGATGATTTCTCAAGAAGAGACTTCTTTCAAAATTAAAGTTTAAAACTCATGCTTGTGTAGGGAAGCGCTTTTGGATCATTCCTTGAGTATCTGATGGCTTGTAACACCAAGTGTCCCAAAAGTAGCTAAATTCATGGGTACTTTGCTTATAAAGTGTTTGTGTGTGTTTTAAAGCCTTATGAGCTCTTTTCAAGTAGCTGGCCGTGTGCTTCTCGGGCTGCGGTGGCTTTCACTTTGCTCATTTTTTGAATGAATACAGTGCCTAGTACTTACCTAGTTCCCTGAATGCTAGTCGACTGATCGGAGTGGTTTTCTGTGCTCCCAGGTTGGCTGTTAGGATGTGATCGTGCGGCTTCCCCTCCCTCGTCCCTATACTGTGTTACAACATCTAAAATTTTATCTTGGAGCTTCTTTTATTTTCTAGCTTAATGAGCATGCTGGTGTTCACTTGGCATTTGAGATCCCTCACAGACGGTCCCTAACCCCCTCTTCAATGCTGTCTGTCTCCTAGTGTTCAACAACACAATCACAAGTCTTCACACAGTTTGTTCTTCATCAGCCTTTAAACCAGAAGTGTAGATTGAGGACAAGGTTTGAGGGTAGGAGGGAGACTGGGATTACCTGGACATGCTCAAGCAGTGTTCTCGGCCTTGGCTGAACATTAGAATCAGCGGGGAACTTGTAAAACTCGGGAGGCTCCGGTCACACCCCACCAGGTAAATCTCTAAGGGATGGGACCCAGGTGGTTGCTGCAGTTTGGAGTCAGCTCTAGAGGCTGTTTTCCCCTTAGAGAATGAAGTGCTGTTGGTTGTTTTCTCTGCTTCCCCTAGTGCTCTGCCTCTGATCTACACCCAAAATCCACATTTGGGTCTCTCAGTCTTCCTCACTTCCTAAGAGCCCCACCTGGGATATCCTGTCCTTATCCTTCATTACTCAAACCCATTTTCATCCTCTGGGTCTCGTCTATTAAGCAGGCTTCCAAATAGACCTTCCAATTTACAGTGATCTCCGTGAATTTTCATAACTTAAAAAGTTGCATCACTTATCTCGTAGATCCACATAGTGACATGTGGCACCAATTGTTTTTCTCTATACACTCTTTAATAGCTATGGTACAACATCCAGTGCAGTGACCTCCTTCAAAGACCTATACATTTATATTAAAATATATTTTAAACTTAGATCCTTTTCCTTCGAACTCAGTGATTTTAGGCCATGGATCGCTTTGAAACTTTGGTGCAAACTGTAGACCTTCTTCCCAGAAAAGTGCTCAAACATACACTTCATGTTACATACAGTCAGTGGGTTCACGAGCCCCTTTGAAGCCTGTGCATGGACTTATTTCATTGGTTTATTCTCAGTTGAGAAAAGGGATTTTTTAATGGAGGAGCGAGGGGAAGGAAGGCCATTTGGGAGAGAGCTTTTCCTAGGAGCGTGAGAATGTGAATGGGGTCTTCTGACAGGAGGGTGGCATTCAGCCTGAAAGGAGGAGGCCCTGTGACAGGTAGGACACCTGTGTTTTTCCCTTCCCACATCTTGTCCTGGGCAAGATGGAGGGCAGACCACACGGTGGAACTGGTGGCAAAACAGGCAGAGCTAATAGCGTAATTGACCACAAGATGTCACCACAACACCAATGAGTTTCCCGACTTTTGGCAGTAGTGCGTCTGAACCCAGAGGTAAAAATATCCAGAAAGTTGTGGTGACTTCTCGTCAGGGGCCTAACACTGCCCAATGTCAGCAGGATTTGCTTTCATTATTATTATTATTTCCAGTACAAGGAATATCAGAGGGTAAAGGTACATTAAGTATAAATAAATGGGAAGTTAAAGAAAAGGTGAGTGAGGTAGGTCAAGTGAGGAGTGACGTGACCCCAGTGTTCTTATTTCCCCCAGAAATGACACTTTCTTGGAAATAGTTTTTCCTATTTTCGTGAGAAGGGATTTTGGCTGGACTGGCCTTTTAAAAAGGCTTCTGAAACAGCAAGTTAACATTACTATGTAACTCTTTTTATTGACCTCCCCAAAATCCATTTTGAACCAATTATGATTGTCCTTTCAATAAGAATTTGGAGAATGTATTTATTATTTAACATTTAACGTTAAATAATAGTGTGTTATTTAATGTAAGGGCGTTTTTTTCTTGATTGAGGCACATTTTATTTAAGTTCTCTTTTTTCTTGCAGTACAGCCAAGTCTATTACCACGGTAGGTTTAGCTACTTTGTTTCATGGCCGCACATTGCACCCTTGGTCCCAGTCAAATCTTTTATAAATGCATAGTTTGGGCAAGAAAGTGTGTATCATAAGTCTATCTTCATTGATTTAAAAAAAAACACAAAAAAACAATTTGGAGCAGCTGCTTTTCTCCAGGCCTACCTGCTCTCACCATCTTGAAAATATACTATCCTTTTAAGATATCTGCTGCTTGCTTGACTTAAAAAAAGAAGGAAAAAAATTTGTCAGTACATCCTTCAACATTAAAAAAGGTATTAATATTGCATTTAATTTAAAAATAAACAGGATGAATACATTCTTGCTCAGGGTAGTACAATTATATCAATAAATTGAAGACCTAGATAGGATGTCAGCTATTTCGTTCTGGCGTATTTCACAACTGAATGTGAAACTAGTTCACTTTACCTTTCTGATTCCTAGCTTTGGGAAAAACAAATCTAGTAAATAAGCTTAGCAGGAAAGTAAGCCTATTTCACGTCCTCCAAATCTTATGACTATTCTCTGACTGAACATGGTATTGCTGATACAACCTAAATCAGAAAAATGGGTCTCTGGGGAGGACATGACTTGTGTTTAACATAGGCTGGTGAGCGTTGCCTTCACCCCGGGGAGCCATTCCAGTCTGGGGAGGTGAGCAATGGTTCTCTCTGTGTAAAAGGGGGTAGACAAGGAAGTGGGGAAGGCAAGACTCTAAGTCTATGTTAGAATTCCTATCGGGATGAGAATGCCATCCTTCGTGGAAAGTATTCACTCGGAAATGCTGCTGCGTGAGAGCTGAGGCATGCCCAGTTTTGCAGCAAGGCTGGCGTGGTCCCTCCTGGGTCATTTGGCCAACAGGCCCCGCCTCTCAAGCTCGCTGATGTTTTTGTCTCCTATAGGTGCGTAGCTTTCAGGGATACTGGGAAAAACTGAACTTACACCTGGAACATGTCAAGTACACCGAGCCACACTTGCACTATAACAACAGCGTGGTCAGGAGAGAGTGGCACAGCCTGATCTCGGAAGAGGTATGTGTGGGTTCATGAGAACAACGCAAGAAGCAAAAGCAATAGTGTATTAGATCCAGGTGATACTTGTAAGTTGTCAGGCTGGCTTACATTTGTAGCACTCCCCCCATTGCCAGGCACTACTCATCTCTTACTGGGCAGACAGGGGGGCTTCTTGGATGCTTCTTTGGGGTGTGGACCAGTTCTGCATCTTGATTGTGGTGGTGCATGAATTTATGCATGTGATAAAACGATATAGAACTATACACTCATTGTACCAGTGTCAGTTTTCTGATTTTGATAGTGTACTACACATAGCTGTTTATAAAAGATGTAAACATTGGGTGAGACTGGATAAAGATTAACAGATCTCCCTGCAGCATTGTTGTGTATAGTTGTAATGTTGTTGTGTATAACATATATATATATATATATATATATATTTTTTTTTTTTTTTTTAAAGATTCTTATTGGGGAATTGGGGGAAGGGGAACAGACAAGTTGCTATCCTTTTGCTCTTCAGTCTAGTTGTGGAGGACGTTGCTTCACTGGCCCAAGTTGGCACCATCATTGCGCTCTTCCCGGGCAAGGCAGATCAGTCGCCGGCTTCTGGACGGCCACTCACGCTGGCTGCTGGCTGCTGGCTACACGTGGTAGCCCATGGCAACCCACCTGCCATCGCTGGCGAATCACGGCAGGCAGCCCAGCTCCAGGTTGAGCTGTTGTTCAGCATCTTAGCTGTGGAGGGCAGTGCCACTGGCCCTCATATGTGGGATCCGAACTGGGGCCCTCTGGCATCCCAAGCCAGTTCTTAACCATCGTGCCACTCGGCCGGCCCGTGTATGACATTTTTGACTTGCAACTTCTGTAAATCTATAATAGTTTCAGAATAAAACATTTCTAAAACAATTTTCTAAGAATCTAAGTGTTTTACCTGTTTACCTGGAAAGTGTATGTTTTTTTGCTGAAACTCTTAATTGTATTATATTGTGTCTTTGATGTGAAAAATATCACCCATAAAACCTTCACCTTTCACACCTCTGACATGTTCTCACTCCTAGAAAACAGGAAAAAGAAGGCCCAAGGTGTATGTGAGGAATATTCTTGATAATGCCATCAAGTAAGTAAAATTAGGGATTATTGTATCTGTAAGATGATTATCTCTTGCAATTATTTTGTTGGCTACCTAGCAGGGAAGTAGCTTACTTTCTTTGTGTATCCTCAGCAAAAATGATGCTGTCAGCTTAATGAATGCAGCCACTGGGCCCTATTTCTGGAGTTTGAGGCTGGAGTGTCTAGTGGGAAAAGTTTATCTGTTAAACATTACAAACTTGCCTCCTGGAGATAGATGATTTATCAGGGAGAAAGGATAAAGAAAACTCTTATTAATGGAGCCCTTTAGGGGGGTATAGGCAGGAAGCTGATTGAGAAAAGTGTTAGTGGGCTGGTGAGCTGCTCTTATTTTGAAAGCAGATTTTCTGGATAGTGAGTCATCTCAGTGCTACAAGTACAGGCCCCGTTCCAGCCCCTGTTCTATTTTCTGTTCCCATTATTTCCAATAACTGAGAGCTGTGATTGTTGTAAATTATTGTCATTGTTTGCACTAAAAGGCTTTGAGTTTTATAATTGCCTAATGTGGCTTTTGCCAAGTTGATTAAAAGTTTTTGAGGTTTTCAGCAGCCCGAGTTTCTGCAGTGGTTTTATAGGTTTTAAAGGACGACATCTTTGTATGGTGTGTGGCTTTCATTTTTTTTTTTTTTTTAAATATTGCTTCCTGTGTGAATAACACTGGCTACTTTCTTTCTAGGGTGATTTCTAACCTAGAAGCAAGGAATTTGGGTAAGAAAAGTCTTCTGGATTTCAGTCAGTGTTTTGTTTATAACATCGTTCTTCCTTCCACTGTGGGTTGGCAGGAAAATCACTTCCAACAGTGTAATGAAGACAGCTCCCTTTAATATCTTCCTGCCGGAGTAGTCACCCGGCTTCTTCCATGTCTGTCTTGGCACCAGGACCTTTGGGGACAGCTGCTGAGTGTTGTTGGCCTCCTGGTTTTCATTATTTGTCCTCTTGGATTTGATCTCATTAACATGCCCGCTGGCTGTACCCACAGGATGCTCTTTGGAAGCTCCCTTGGCTTAGGGATGCTTCCTTTCCAGCTGTCTTATCGTACGAGCGCCTGTGACGCCTGTGCTCCTTCCGTGTTGGTTGACACTTGGGTACTCACTGGACTGGGTCTTGTGCATGCACAAATGAGGAGCCTCCTGGTGGGCCTGTGGCTGGGGGAGGAAGAGCACAGGCTGGGAGCCTGGCAGAACTGGACTTGAATTCCAGCTTGGCCACATGCTCACATGTGCTCTTGGGCAAACCATTTATCCATTTCGTGTGGTCCTCCTCAGGGCAAGGGCAGAGAGAAAATGAGAGTAAATAGGGTCATGTTTATAGTACCTAGTACGACGCTTGGCACATGTGGGCTCCCTGAGGTGGCTGCTTTTCGTTAGTGTATGAGAAAGAAATGCTAACACATAATTTCTAAACCAAGTGACAGGTGTTATGTCGTCTCGGGGTGCAGGGGCGAGGGGCTAAGTCATGACTGGGGATGGTTGGGGCAGAGTCTTGACAAACAAGGGGGACTTAGCTGAGTAGAACTCTTGGGGAAGAGAATGCTAAGCATATTCAGGTATAAGCCCTTTGGTGGTTTTGTTGGTGGAACTCTTTCACAACTCATAAAGGTCAGCCTTTATTGAAAAAGCTGTTGTTTTTATATCTCACCTCTCTCTTATGGGCCTGGATGTTTAGGTATATGTTGGGTGACCCTAACGGAAATTATTTTATAGAGTGTGTTACTGCACATCCTGCAGCTGTGTACACAACCTACGTGAACCGTGACAGTGAACTTGTCACCCAGCCCAGGCCGACAGAGCTTGGGCTCACTGAATAGCCCTGAGGGAACCAGCTAGGGTTTCTGCCACTAGCACCAGGGAGGAGCAGTTGGCAGGAGCTGCCCACTGCACTGGGGTGTGAATGTGTGTGATTCAGGCATTTTGCAATATGGGTTGTGCCCACCCTGCTTCTTCCGTTCTAGTGCCTTCTGCTCCTGTCCTCAAGCCTGCTTGCATCCTGTTACTAGTCATTCTCTTCTGACGTGCTATTGGGAACGTGCCTGTTCCTCTCACGTGCTTTTGCTTGTACTAGTTTCCTAAGGAGAATGCCATCACTGCCCGAAATGAAACCCTCCATGTGAAATTCAGGGCTGCTGGGATCAAGGTCTAAATGATTTCATCTTAATCATGAAGGTTGTGTAGGATTCAGGTAGGATTTCACCCGAGAATTCAAGAGGCATCTGTGCCCTTCCACAAGGAGTCAGCCCACAGACCAGGGTAGTTCTGCCATCTTGACGGCGCTGTGCCTTAGGTGTTCTAGAACAGGAAGGGCAGTTAGGGAGTGTTAGGGCAGACCTTCCGATGAAGCTGTTTGCCTGCCCGCCAGCCTTTCTGGCGCAGTGCATGTCATGGGGAAAGTGACATCTGATTTAACCTTATGTGTCACGTTTCCATCTTGATCTAGTTACCTTTTCTGTTGGATAACTTATGCCAATTAGTACTATTGCCACAGTAGGTGACTGGTCCCCTCAGCTTAGCAACTTCCAAAGACACTGAACTGTGGGGGGGTCAGAAAGAAGGGAGTTCTGTGATGCTCCACCAAGTCCTTGTGGATTATGGCCCCTTAGGGTTAAGAGAGGGCCCAGGTCACTCCGTCTCCAGTGAGGCAGAAGTTCTTAGACAGCAGTGAGTTTTTGTGTTGAAGAGAAATCAAAGCCAGAGCCTGTAGGTATTGGGAAATGTCTTCCTTCCTTCCTTCCCTCCTTTCTTCCTTCCTTTCTCCCTCCCTCCCTCCCGCTCTCCCTTTTTCCCTCCCTCCCTTCCTTCCTTCCATCTATCCTTCCTTCATCTCTACCACTCCCTGTTGCACAGAGCTCTCTGTGTGTCACTTGAGTGGCAAGTTCAGCTTGCAGGGCTAGGTCACACTCACCTAGTGAAAAATTTTCATCTATCAGGGAAGTGTTATGACTCAGGGAAGGGAAACCTAGGCTGATTCCTCTTTCTTCTAGCCCATTTCTTGTGAACGACCCTGCTTGACAATTGCTCTGTTTAATTTCAGAGCCAAGATTGACACCCCTGTTCCAGGAGGAAGACAACCACCAGAGGCTGCTTGTGGGGCTGGTGAGTGGTTTGCGGCTGTTGGGGTGCTGGCACAATGGGCTTTGAGAAAAGGGAGAGGGCTAGATTGTCCTGTCATTCTGATCTTGTTCTTCACTTGTTCTCTGAACACATAGCTGTTCCCAGCCACTTTGGGCCCTGTGTGTTCCGTGGTAAGGAACACGTACATGGTTTCTGCCCTCTCAGAATTTGTAGTCTAGTGGGGAAGACGCCCATTAATCAATCACCCTAGTAAATACATAATTTCAAAACAACATAAGAAATGTCCAGCATTGAGACTGTTTAAAATGAGGAAAAAGCAACATCTCTGTGGATTTGTATTTGGGGTTTAAAATAAAACAGAATAAAGTATTGTTTCTCAAGAAATTCTACTACTGGGAAGACAAAAGAAATATAAATCAAAATAAATTAATTGAAGAGCAGAATTGGTAAACAAATCCAAAATCTTTAAAAGACTGACTAGAGACATCTAGAAAGTCTAATAAAATATTTTTAATACTGTGCAGGCTCAAATGGGATTAGACATGGCAAGTTAAAATATATGAGAAAAATATGTAGAAATACATAGCCATACACTTAAAAATCCTAGTTAAAATTTCCTTGGCAAATAGAATGACCAAACTTGAGCCAAGAAGTACTAGAAGACCTGAAAGCACAATAATCATGAAATAATTTGAAAAAAAGTCAAAGATTATCTCCAAGAAAAGGCCCCGAGTTATTTATTGAGTTTGTTCTTTCAATCTTTTAAGGACCAGGTCATTCCCATACTATGTAAAGTATTTTTGAAAAAAGATGGGAAGTTTCTTAATCACTTTAAAAAGCCAGCATAACCTTAAAACTAAAATCTGACAATAGCTACTTTTACTTATGAGTATAGATACCACAAGCTTAATTAAAATACTTTCTAGGGAGCATTTTCTAATCCCTTGAGACTTTGCTTCCTGGCAATTGTCGTCAGTTTAGCTCAAATAAACTCTTATAAGCTTTAAAATAAACAAACAACTTTCTAGTGGTATATTTGAAGATACAATGTGGCCAAGTGGGGTTCTTTTTAGGAAGTCTTAATATTAAGAAATATATTAATATTAGGAAATGCATTCATTACATCACTAGGTGAAAGAGGAAAAATGATAACCTCTATCAGTGCTAAAAGTTGATTAAAGTGGAATTCCAATCTTGGAATACACAAATCAATAAAACAAAGAATAATCTAATATTAATAGCCAACATCCTTCTTAATGGAACATTGGAGGTATTCCTATCAAAATCAGAAAGAAGTTGGATCCTTGCTATTTTCATTAAAATTTTACATGGTTCTGGAAATTCTAGCCAATGCAATAAGAAACAGAAGAAGATTGTAAGATTGTATAATGCAACAAACAAACAAAACAATCAATTGGGTAAATGGAAAATAAGGAGCAAGTTAGTAAGCTGGAGATTCTGTATCTATTTTCTTTTTTAATTAGGATTAACCAATTAGAAAAGATAATGAAAACCAATATCGCATTTCCAAGTCCTATGAGTCTAAGCTTAATAACATTACAAGCAAAAAGCCAATAAAATGTGTGACAATTGACTGATTCACTTGATAAAGTTAAGAGATGAGAGACTGGCATTACCAGAGATCTGAATGTGTTGTTGATCTACAGTGACAGAAACAATATGGTGCTTATACAAAAATAGACAGTCAATAGACCCTAGTTTTAATTAGAATCTTTAGTGTCTGGTACATGAGGCATTTAAAAATCAATGTGGAAAGAAATATTTTTTAATAAATCAGTCAATAGTGGCCTATTTGTAAAAGAAATAGAGTTCTCCTATCCCAAATGCCACCACTTTATACCATAAACCAATAGAAACATCAGATAGGTTAAGGAGTCTAAAATATAAAATATTGAACTGTATGAAAGAATTTGAGTAAAATAAGTAGATAGATAAACAGTACTGCAATAGGGAACATTTTCTAAGTATATTATTTAACATAGACATACAGGAAAACTGACAACAATTTAAATATCATAGTAGCAAAGTTCAGGGTACAGGGAATTGGACAGCCCCATGTCCAGTAATTAGTGTAGCCACAGTGGGCGGCATCGCCACAAACCTGGTGTGTGGCCCAACAAAATCCATTTCTAGGAATTTAGCCTGACAAAAGAATTGGGGATGTGGCAAACAACTTTCATGTAAGGATTTTTAATGGCATTATTAACAGTATTAAAAGAAACATCTGATATGTACAAGAAGGAAATAAATAATTCAGTTATAGTACTTTCATAAAATTGAACACTGTGCAGCCATTAAGACTAGTGTGGTAAAGAATATTTAATGACAAACTATTACATGAAAAACAAATTACAGGGCCAGCCGAGTGGCGCGGTGGTTAAGAGCTGGCTTGGGACACCAGAGGGCCCCGGTTCAGATCCCACATATGAGGGCCAGTGACGCTGCCCTCCACAGCTAAGATGCTGAACAACAGCTCAACCTGGAGCTGGGCTGCCGTGAGTCGCCGGCGACGGTGTAGGCTGCAGCCCCTGCTGCAGTGGTTGCTTTGGGCTACCGTGTGTGGCCAGCAGCCAGCGTGAGCGGCCGTTCAGAAGTCGGTGACTGATTTGCCTCGCCTGGGAAGAGTGCAATGATGGTGACAACTTGGGCCAGTGAAGCAACATTCTCCACAACTAGACTGAAGAACAAAATGACAGCAATTTGTTTGTTCCCCTTCCCTCAATTCCCCAGTGCTGGTCCCATTCCCCAATTCCCCAATAAAAATCTTTAAAAAAAAACAAACCAGATTACAAAACACAGGAATGATTGTCAGACCAGGAAGAAGGAAAATAAAAAAACCAAAATGTTAATGTAGATGGCAGGATTATATAGATGACTTACATTTTTCATCTTTATGGTTATTATAGAAAAATTGAAAAAGACAAAAACATATACATTTTGTCTTAAACAACAAATAAATATTGTTTTTTAAAGCCTGATCAATTAGCACTTGCAGGAGACTGAATTGAAGTAATATACCACTCGGTCTTGGCCCAGAATGCTACGGGCTAAGTTTTACTCAGGGTATCCTATAGTTAAATCTGCTAAAATAGAAGATGTGTGCACATGTTGTACAGTTCTTATGGATTTTTTATTGGTGCAAAGATCTCTGTAGCCAGGAGACCCTCTAGCTGAGCAGAGAGTCCAGGCAAAAGGGAGAAAAAAAGCAGAAAGAAGGAGAAGGAGAAAGAAAAGCAAAAGGTAGGGAGGGCTGGGAATGCCACAGTGATTGGGGAGCCCCAAGGATGATCAGAACAGTATAGAAACAAGCCCATCTGGAGGCACTAGAATGAATACTGTATTTCAATATCTTTGCATGTCGTGGGCTGTGTGAAATGTCTGCAGCCACTGTGCAGGGGTGGTGGGTACCTGATACATTTCCTTTTTCTCATCAGGGCCTGGAGCCTGACTCTCAGTTGCTCCCTGGGCTTTGAGTGAATCAGAAGTAGTTCCTCTTGAGGGAAACATTGGTGTCCCCTGAGTTATGCCCATTGGAAGGAGACTGAGGGTTATGCATTTCTGCTGGAGGGATCTTCAGACCCAATATTTTTCATATTGATAAGGACTGTTAATAAACAGATCTAATTCAACCAGTTGCAGATGTGAGTGGGTATGTTGTGACTTATATAATCCATTTCCTGTTTTTAGATGGTGTCTGAGCTAAAAGACCATCTTTTGAGACACCTACAAGGCGTAGAAAAGAAGAAAATTGAAAAGATAGTCCTGGATTACGTTTCAAAACTGGTTGGTTTTGTTTTTTTGTTTTTCATCCCTTGGCCCCTGGTATATAGTTTCCAGTGTGAGGTACAGTATATTTTTCAAATGAGGTTTTTGGAGTTCTCCCACCCTCAAACCAGTATATTTGGTGCTACGGATTGAGGAAAGGGGGAAATAACCACAAACAATGAGAACTTGATTTTGAAAGAGGTTTATTGCACTCCCTTCAAATAGTGATGATAGGCTCATGAAATCATAGAACAGTGATGGATTTAGAATGTTTGCCAAATGTTCACATCTTGGCATCTCTCAGTTCCTTATTAAACAGTAGATAATGATTTCTGAACATGGAGGTTTATGCAGACATGAGAGAACTTGAACTTCAATTTTTAATTAGCTCCAACAGCCCAATTAGGCTAGATTCCAGCTCAGTTGTGAAAATACTACCACATTCAAATCTGATGAGATTAGCAGCTCATTTACTAGGTAGTTGCTTATTGAACTTGTGTGTGATCCAAATTAAGGACACCAGTACATATGTAAATAACAGTGATGTTAAGGCTGTCTTGAGTCTTTCAAAAAGCATATGAAATTGAGGTCTGACCTGCTTAGAACCTAGAAATAATATGCTGGACAGATTTCTAAAAGTATTTAAATACACACAAAGAATACTGCATTTCTCCCAGTTTGGGTAAGACCAATATGTAAAGGAGCCAGTGTGCAAACATATACTTTTGCATTGAACTTTGGAAGATTAGTTAAATGTATTAGACACGGACCTCTAATTTTAAAAGTTCTGTTTTTATTGTAGTCATTTAGTGTCTGTTTTTAAATAATAACTTTGAATTTTTACAGTAAGGTTTGACTTTACTAGTTTTTAATGTATTAGAAGAGGTTGGTTTGGTATTCTTATATACTGATATTTATAATCAGGGCATTGAAACTTTCTTAAATAATTCTCCTTTGCGTAGAACTACCCTGAGGAGCTCCCATAACATGCCCAAAGCAAACTCGGTTGCACTTGACCTTCGCTGGTAGACAAGGGCCTGTAATTGAGGGCCTGTTAGCCAGGCCCAGGCTGGGGCAGCTCGGCTGGGGCATGGCCCACACAGACAGAGGGTGCTCTGTTAGATTCTAGGGGACATTTGCAGCCTTTCCATGTTCCGAGGGCTCCATTGCCTCAAAGCTGACCTCAGAAAGGCTGGTTCTGTGTCCGGGCACAGCCTGAATGCCAGCTGCCCTGACCGTGCCTGTCAGAGCTGGGGAGGGTGTCTGTAGGGGACCTGGGGGGAAGGGGATGAGCAGAGCTTAACAGACTCTTTCTCTCCAGCTGGATCTCACTTGCCAAATACTGGAAACCAGTTGGAGGAAACAGAATCTTCATCCCTGGGTTCTCCACTTGTACGCAAGTATTTCTCGTTCTTATCACAGTGTGCAGAGCCAAAATAACTGCTACTGCTGCCTGCTTAGCAAAGCCTTTTTGAAACTTACAGTTGAAAGCAATTCTCACCAGCCCTGACACTGTCTATCTCAGTTCTGTGCTCGGCATTGAAAGTTATACCTATGTTACTTCACCCATCCTCCTTCCTTGGCATATAGTTGATGAGAAGTGGGGAAGGGGGCACATGAGCTCAGTACTGCCAAGAAGGGAATTTGAGTTAATACAATTTATCGTTGACTGTCTGGTTTGATTCTAGGCAGTAGGCTGATGGCCACCATCATAATTTTGAGGCTTTCGACAGGGCATGGCCTTTCATGATTAGCATGAATTCCATCTGTATGTGGTGCTCAGAGCCACTACTTAGACCAGTGGATTTTTCAAGATGAACTCCTTGGCTGACACGCTGCTTTGGTATTTTCTCCAGCGATAGGCAGGCTAGTGCTGCTGAATTTGCAGTCTTCCACATCATGACCAGGATTTTGGAAGCTACTAACAGTTTGTTTTTACCTCTGCCTCCTGGTAAGTCTTGGCTCTTTTATCCTGTATTGCAATAAGTTTTTTCTTTCTTCTTTACATGGTTCCTGGGCTTTGGGACATTATGAATTTAAGGATAAGACCTCCTGTATCTCAGAAACTGTGTCATGTGTCACTGTGAGAGATGGGCCTGAGATTGGTCTCTGCTGACCAGATCTTCCCTGATTATTAAACTATACTGTAGTTTGCCACTAACTTTAGGGAGCCTAGACTGGTCCCTGTGCAACTTTCTAGGATACTTTGAACCAGTGGAGCTGGTTCAGGGAGACCTTTCTCTGAAGGCTGTCTGCAGGCCTAGTTTCTCTGATCGAGAAAGTTAATATAAAGAAGGAAGTGGGTCTAGCTGGATGTTCAAACTGAGCTGAGCTTACGTGCTTGGAAGCTAAAAATTTCCCTTAGGATTTTGAAATAGGACCAAATCGGGCCTCAAAACACCCTTGGCACATGTGTATGCAGTCCTTCATTTAATTGGTCACTTGTTCATTCAATCAACAAACATTTGTTGAGCAATTATTATATGCCAGATACTGTGCTGGAAATTAGAGCAGTCAAAAATGAACAAAAGTTTAGTTGGGAAGATATGCATATAAAGCAGTAATCATTATAAGAGACAAATAAGTTTCTGTTTGCTCTAAACTACCTGCCTTATGTTCATTATGTAAAAGTCCTGATGTAAGCGTTATGATAGCTATCATGACATAATATATACCAACCAGTTTTTAATATATTTTTTACATAATTCTTTTAATTCTAATTTTATTTCAATTATAGTTGACATACAATATTATATTAGTTTCAGGTGTACCACATAATGATTAGACATTTGTATACCTTACAAAGTGATCTTCCTGATAAGTCTAGCACCCATCTGGTATCAATACATAGTGATTACAATATTATTGACTGTATTCCCTATGCTATAATTTACATCCCTATGATTATTACTTTATAACTAGAAATTTGTACTTCTTAATTTCTTTTACCTTTTCACCTATCACCCCGAACCCTATCCCATCTGGCAACATTCAGTTGTTCTCTGTATCTATGAGTTTGTTTTTGTTTTGCTTGTTCGTTAATTTTGTTCTTTAGATTCCACATATAAGTGATATCATACAATGTTTGTCTTTCTCTGTCTGACTTATTTCACTTACCATAATACCCTCTAAGTCCACCCATGTTGTTGCAAATGGTAAGATTTCATTCTTTTTTATGGCTGAGTAATATTCCATTGGATATATCTATTCACCTATTGATGGACACTTAGGTTGCTTCCATATCTTGGCTATTGCAAATAATGCTGCAGTGAACATAGGGATGCATATGTCTTTTTGAATTAGTGTTTTGGGTTTCTTCAGATAAATACCCAGAAGTGTAATTGCTGGATAATAAGGTAATTTTATTTTTAATTTTTTGAGGAACCACCATACTAATTTCCTTAGTGGCTGAACCAATTTGCAATCCCTCCAAGAGTGCACGGGGGTTCCCTTTTCTCCACATCCTCACCATCACTTGTTTGTTGATTTATTGATAATATATCAGCCAGTTTAATTTATTTATTCATATCATCTACCCATCCATTCATCATTAATTCACTCCTTTATTTGTTCATCTTAAACCAACATGTATACAGTGCCTATTTTGTGCCAGGTACTGTTTTAAGTACATAAATTAGCACATTTAATTTTCATAACAATCCTGAGTGATGGGAGCTTAAATTGAACCACATTAAATTTTTGACCAAGAAAAATGATTCTTTCATATGGTTTCATTTAATTTTATTCCCATTTAAAGATGGTGAAATCGAGGCACAGAAAGGTTAAAAGTAACTTGCAGGGCCGGCCGAGTGGCTCAGTTGGTTAAGAGCTCGCTCAACAGTTTGAGCTCTGAGCAACAGCGGTTCGAGTTCCGGCCCGAGCTTGCCAACAGGTGGCAGGATGGCTCAGCTAAAAAAAAAAAAAAAATGTAACTTGCATACCCACCCAAATGCTAAAATAAAAAACATACATAATGCTAAAAAAAAAAAAAAAAGTAACTTGCCTAAAGTCACACAGTTATTAGGTAGCAGAGCCAGTATTAAAATCCAGGCAGTCTGGCTCCAAAATCTGTGCTTTTAACTACTATTCTGTGCTGCCTCTTGAATTTCATATTCCAGTTGAATTAGTTGATGCTGAAACTTTGGCTATTTGTGGGCCCAGAAGATCCCCATAGCACGTCTCAGCTTCTCTGCATCTGTGATCTGTCTGACACAGTTTGGAATCGTTCAAGCTTTCTCTATCCGCACACCTCATCTTGCAAGGTTTGCTTGTAGTGGAGGTCCAAAAGGTGTTCCTTTTGACTTTGTAGGAATCTGAAAATGACCATTCATGAGGAGAATGGATGGGTTTAAATTATCCCAGTGGGCTATGAATGGTGAGGTGCCCTCTAGACAGAGTGAGGGATTTCATGAAAACTATACATGGTTTTCTGGCTTAAAATCTTAATTATTTGTCTTTAATACAAAAGACTTGGTAGAGGAATGGATTGACACTTACAGATCTATTCACCATGGATATTCAAGCTTCTTTGGTACATCAATGAAACTGACTTACTGGGGACAAGATAATTCTCAGGAGATCATAAAAATTCACTTTCTGTAAAACACTGCATTCCTTCACGGGGTTGGATAGGAGGGAAAACAAAGAAAACTGTTATCCACAATGACTGGGAATTATTTGAGTAGACTTAATGGCCTGTGTCTGTGGGTCAAGTAGAGAAGAGCAGTTTCTATCCTTTTCTCTTAAATCTATGTTTCCTGTATGTGACATGGAAATAGAAATGAAGCGATAATGGATTGTGTGTGTGCATGTGTGTGTGTGTAAATACAGGGTATTTTTCAGGCACATGTAAGTGTGCATGTTTTCCAGGCCTGCTGAACTAGCGAAAACTGTGTGAGTTCCAAGTTTCAGAAAACTGTAACCCAAACTGATTAAAGACAAAAAAGGAATGAAGACCCCCAAAAGGAAGTTATGGTTCAGAGCCGGAGCATTTGCAGTTTCCCCTTGCTGGCGAGAGAAGGGCAGGACCCCTAAAGGATGAGGACAGGGTTGGCTGGAAAAACTCTGTCTTTCAGAGCTGATACTTGCTTTCAGCCAATTTTCTCTGTTGCTTCAAGCTGACATGCAAAGAGGAGGCCAGGGGCGGACTGTTGAATTTGGGATTGTGCCCTAGGGATACAGGATGAACGGTCATCAGGGCTCTTCAGGACATGAACACAGGGCTGGAGAGGAATTTTGAGTCCAGAAAACCTATAGGATCGATAATCTTTTATAAACTCTTATTCAGAAATAATTGTATAACTTTTTTAACCTTGGGAAGAATGTCCAAATCCATTTGGAAAATCTCACGTTGTTAATTAGCTAGTAAAATCACTGTAGTTTTTGGAGTCAGGGACGCTAATGGACTCCTCTGTCAGCCCTTTCACACCCGCTTATGGGCAGAGTCTGCCCCTCATCTGATCCTTGATGTTGCCCTGACTTGGGACTTAGGTCCCTCACTGCTCGTGATTCATGGGCTCAGGGACAGAAAACCCCATGCTTTGTGTGAACTCCAGTCCCTGCTCTTTGGGCATCGTCTTTGTCCTGTAAGTTCCTAAGACTAGGCTGTGAGGTTTTGTCATCTCCTCCCCACATCCGGTCAGTTTCCAAGCCTGTATTTCCCACCCTGCGTCTTCCATCCCTCCCTCTTCTTTCACTGTTGCTGCCCTTCACCTCTTACGCAGGTTCACGCCACAGCCTCCCATCGGGGCCCCATACCTCCTGTAGCAAACGGGCACTTCTGTTCATTCTCTGCCTGTTGCCACTGTAATATTCCAAAACTAAGGCTGAAGTTCTTTTCCCATCGTGCCTTAACATTTTCAGAGCCTCGCCCGTCTGCTCAGTGCTAAATTCCTTGCTGTCATTCAGCATTCAACCCCTGTCATACGTACTTAGAGCACCCTGCACTTTTCTTTGATAGAGCTGGTCACATTAAAAATATATATATATTTATTTGTGTGGTTGTTTGATGGCCTGTTTCCCCATCAGACTGGAAGGTCGATGGGAGCAGCGGTAGTACGTGTTTTGCCCAATGTGGCACGCCCTGCTCCTCGCTCTGTGTGCAAAAGGGGTTTGTTAACCCCTCTCCAGCCGTACCTCGTGTCATTCCTCTCGCACACCTGATTCCAGCTCAGACGCGTCACTTCATGTTTTGTGAACATGCCCCAGACTTTCTCACCTCTGGGCCTCCGTTCATATTGTTCCATTAATGCAGCTACCAGTTATTGGGTCAGGGTAGTGTTATGGTTCAAAGCCTAGGCAAAAATCTCACAGCCTGCGTTCAAATTTCAACTCATTATTTATATGATCCTGGGCACATCTCTTAGCTCCTGTGAATCTCAGCTTTTCCATTTATAAACTGGGAACCAGGTGGTTCCCGCTGCACGGGGTTGTATAAGGATCAAGTGAGCCAGTGGGTGGATTGAAGGCCTCAGTGCACGTTTGGTACTAGTCAGTGTGTTACACCCTGGGCTAGGCTTCTCACAGACCAGCTCTGGTTCTCAGAGCAGCCCTACAGGACAGGTACCAGTGGCTCCATTTGAGGGATGAAGAAATGCAGGCTCACGAAGGCTTAGTTACCCGCAGCTAGTAAGCAGCATGCAGGATCCCAGCCTTGTTGGCCTGCTCATGCGAACCTGGCTTTTTCTAACATCTCTACTCTGAATATTCTCCTGCCTCATTTCCACTCCCAGGAAATGCATGTATCCTTTATGGCTCCCCTCACAGGCCATCTTTTCCAAGAGGGCTTTTCAGATCCTCTCCTGGTCTGATACCTTCTTCCACGGATGTTGTTTTTATCGTTTATTGTTACTAGTGCACTTAGAGCTCTAGGTTTCTGAGTGTTTGTGGAGCCCTCCCCATGAGACTGAGGTTTGAGAGAGTGCTTTCCTCTCTAGTGAATTCCTATAGATTTGCTATCTGACCATATCATTTTAATTCTTCTTTTATGTAATTTAGTCCAAGCTGACCCCAAAAGCCTCGCCCTAGGGCATACTCAGAGATCAGGCACAAGGATCCCTGTCCATCCACCTTTTAGCCTGGGCATGTGGAGTGTGAAGGTCTTCTGTTAATTGTTCTCTTTTGTTATCTTACCATAGAATTGCAAACCTATTAAACTTGTAAAACCATTTTTCATAGAGCAGGCCTTGAACTCTTTTTCTCTTTTTGTCGAGGAAGGGACACAAGGTGAAGGGAACCCATACTTGTTGGGAACTTATTATATTCTCAGCACAATGCTTAGTCTTGATAATGACAAGGAGGAAACTCGGACCTTGTCTCCCAGCAGTATTGATTTGAAGCTAGGTGCCAAGCACTGAGCTGAGGGCTTTGTTAACACCATCGATTTCATTCTGCCTGGGAGGCTGGCAATGCTGGCTGGCAGTGTTTACTTCCCGGTCTCATCGTAGGTTTCCACACTCTGCACACGGTCCTTGGCATCCACTGTCTCCCTCTGCATAACCTGCTGCATTACATCGATAACGGGGTGCTGCTTCTCACAGAAACAGCTGTCACAAGGCTCATGGAAGGTAAGAGGCTCTGCGCTTGCCAGAGGGCACGTTCCCCTCTGAGCACCACCAGCATGGTGGTCCCCCAGAGCCCTGCCGCACTCTGAAGGGCCCCATACTTAGTTTACTGCTTTGCATTCTGTCTTGAAATTTTTAGTATTTGAACAAGGGGCTCCTCATTTTTTTTTTCTTTTTGGCTTTGGGTGCCACAAATTATACAGCTGGTCCTTCTGAGTATAGTTCGTTTCCTGTAACCATCCTTTGGGCTAATTTAAAGTGCCTTTGCCCTTCAAGAGACCCCAAATGACTTCTCAGTCCACACAAAACTATTAGATTCCTTTTCTGTACATGAGAGCACTTGGGGATAGGAGGTTCTGAAGCCTTGTTTCTCAAGAAAAAGTCATGAAATGGCTTACGTTCAGCTGAATGACTCTGTCATGGCAAAGTTTGACTTGGAACGCAAGACCAGTGAGAAATACAGTGTTTATGTGAACTTTAAATAAAGGCTGTAGTGTAATCACTCTCACTTAAATGATTCAGTTGTATTTTATAGATGAGTTTTGTCAATAGATATTAAAGTATTTCCAATTCCTCAAGGTAACTTCTGTTTTAAATTAGTCAGTAAAGTTCTTTTGTGACTGGCAGCCTGTTACAGTTCCATGATATATAAAAACAGCTTCATTTAAAAATTCCTTTTATTCAGAGAGACACAAACTACAATTTTCAAAGCGTTATTAGATTTAGCTTGAGAATACAGGCTGGGATATGTGTTGTCAGGATGAAGTATTATTAGCTTGTTCAGATATTAAAATGGAGATTTCTCTTTTGCTTGTCAATTTAACTTTCTTGTAGATCTGGACAACACAGAGAAAAATGAAAAACTAAAATTCAGCATTATTGTGCGGCTTCCTCCGGTAATCCTGAATTATATTTTATTTTCTCCCTAAGCCTTGGTGTGAACCTCCTTTAGTTTCTCCTTACAGCAAGAGCATTTACTTGATTTGGGCTAATGATGATTGAATTGTTTCACTTGTCAGCCCCTTCCAAGAAGTCCCATCCATCCCCACCCTCTGTCAGCTGTTCCCGCTGGGCCTGCCAAGTGCTTGCTCCCCTGGCTTTGCACTGCCTTGGCACAGCCCACCTGAAACATTTAGCCATGTTTTCCTTTTAGGCAACCGCACTAATATTTACATCTGTGAGTCTGAGGTGAGGGAGAGGGGAAACATGTGCTTTTGGCATGTAAACTGATAAGAAATTTAAATACAGGTGAGGTCAGAAGGTTCTGGAACTTCATTTCCTCCCACTGTCATTTCTACCAGGGCAGGAAAACATTCCTGGGTCAAAGGAAGAACTCGTAACATGAGGGAAAGGGTTATACAGGCACTCCTTATTTTCGTGGGAGATATTAGCTCTCAGAGTCAAAAATACTATGAAAATATGAAATTCCACAACGAGGGCTTCAGGGCCTCTGACCCTGCGAACGTCCTCACCCTGAGAGCCCTGGCCAGCTCACTCTGTGCACTGTTTATGTACCTTGAGCACTTGTATCTCTGGCACGATCCTCTCATGAAGGGATGTCCGTTGCCTTTCTCTACCTGATCGGCTTGCTTTGTCACACACACCCTTTCCCCCTCACAGGCTTGCTGAAGCAAAAGTGAGACTAGAAAACAAAGCCTGTTTTCTGTGGCTATATCTCTTTGGGATGGTCTCCAGATATTTATTATAAGTTTGGGCTTTAAATTTGATGTTTTTTGCCTCATACTCTTAGGGAATTAAAATTTCCCGGGCAAGACATTGGCAGGGAACATGTCTATAACCTTTGGTTTTCTGTTAAGACATCACTTCGGGTTGATATGCAGACCCCCCAGGTTTGAAGAGTAGCAGATGAAGTCTATTTCAGAAAAAGAATTTGGCAACATCAGTGCATAGACTTCTTTCCTCAGGGTTGTATTTCCTCAGAGTATTTTTTTAAAATTCAGAAGCATTTCTCCTAGTAAATGGCCTTTCTCCAAGGGCCACTAACCATAAAAGGCCTTTTAGACTAACTAGCTACTTTGGAATAATATTTTTAAAGTTATGAATAGATAGAAGGTACATTACTCAATGCAGTGTGAGCTATATTCTCCTTTATATATTTTTCCATCCTTTTATTTTTATTATTTACTTTATCCTTTTTTTAGAGTAGTTTAGGGTTCACAGCAAAATTGAGTGGAAGGTAAGAGATTTCCCATATACCCCTCCCCTCACGCCTGCATGGCCTCCCCCACTATCAACATCTCCACCAGAGGGGTCCATTCATTGCAATTAAGGAAACTACATGGATGCATCACAATCACCCAAAGTCCATAGTTAACATTAGGGTTCACTCTTGGTGTTGTTCATTATATGAGTTTGGACAAACGTATGAGATGTAGCCATCATTATAGTATCATATGGAGTATTTTCACTGCCCTGAAATCCTTCTTGACCTATATTCAATTTGCATCACAGCTTATTGGTCAGAAGATCTGTCGACTTTGGGATCACCCTATGAGTTCTAATATTATTTCCCGGAACCATGTGAAGCGACTGCTTCAGAACTATAAGAAACAGGTGAGTTGGCGTGAAACCACAGCCCTACTAAATGTTATTTTGGATTCTGTTGGCTCATTTCAACATATCTATATGGACAGCAATTGTAGTTCTTACCACTTTTTTATTTTTTTAAGTTCGTACTTGTTTTAGAGAATCAACTAATACCAGAAGTGGTTTCTTTTTTAGCCTCGGAGTTCTATGATTGACAAGTCATCATTTAGTATAGAATTTCTGCCTCTCAACTACTTCATTGAAACACTGACAGATATAGAATCCTCCAGTCAAGGTAATTCACTCCTGTTCTCAGAGTTTTCCTGCTTTTTCTTTGACATATTAGTCAGTCCCTATTCACTTCTTTGTACCTTTTGCTTTTCAAAAATACCCTTTATAAGTAGGCCCTTATTGCAGTCGGTTTTAATTAGCCATACCCAATTTATCTAGAGTAAATTATCACAGGAATAATCACCTCTGAGGTTGAGAAGGGTTTCAGAGATTAAAAACCAATTTGATCGATGCAAATAACTTTTCTTGGTGCTGAAGTTTAATACCTCAGCATTTTAACAACACAATCTCAGAATAAAGTGTTTTGTTAAAATATAAAATAATTATTATTTCAGCAAGCTATGGGAACAACATTATAAATGTTTCATGGCTTCATAGTAACTCTTTTCTCTCTTTCTTTCCCCCCAGCTCTGTATGCTTTGGAAGGACACGACAACGTGGATGCCACATTTGTGGAGGAAGCAGCTCTGAAACATACCACAATGCTTCTAGGCTTATAAAAAAGAAAGTACAGTTTATCAGCTTCCAATGTTTAATCTTGTTCATCAGCTCTACTTCCATTGAGAATTCTTTAGCAATATTTAAAGTTGGGGACCAAAACGAGACTATGTGGCGGTGCCATGTGAATTCAGTTTGGTACTTATTCAGACAGAACCAAACTGCAGTGTCTCATCTCAGTTTTGAACAGCAGAGGAGCCGTTGAGTGTGGAGAAATGACAGATGGTCCAGGGGCAGGAGGGCCATAGTGATGCTCTCCCTAGTGGCTCATCTTCCTGGTGGCTTCACAGGCCAAGAGCTAGTTTCTGTTGCACTCTAACATAAAATACGGTTTAAAAATGTTGGGAACAGTGTTTAGGAAACCGGAAACTGGATTTGTCATTGAATATAACATATGACAAGCAGAAAGATTAAGTGCTGCACAAAAACTGTCTCTGCAAAGAGGATACTTTTTAAAAAACTGAATTTGGACAAAGTCAAATCTGCTATTTCTAGTGTAGAATAATTTGCAACATACAGCAGTTTGTATAGACAGTATTTAGAGTAGGATTTGTCTTTGTGATGGTTCAGATGGAACTGTATTTGATATTGTTAAGCTTTTTATATTTATAAAAGTTTGATTTAGATGTATCTGATTAAAAAAAAAATTGAAAGTTTTGGCCTAACACTTTTGTTCTTTGAACATAGAGCCTTTTTATTCCAGCCAGAAATCATGAGTCCATGAACACATTCCCCCAGAGGACCTCATGGCATCTAACTAATTCTCCCACTTTATTTTCCCCTCTCTCCTCCAGTGACTTCATTCTGACCCATAGATACAGTTGCTGCCTGGGGTCAGCCCATAACCGTTTGCTTTTCTCTCTTCACACTGTTTCCCTCAGTAAACTTGTGAAATTTTAATCATTATCAATATCACTAGCTGGTATACTAATTCAACTTATTTTCTAAAGTCATGATTGTGTTCTAAAAATGGTCCTCTCCTATATAAATCCTGTTTTGGGCCAAATCCTCATGGTCACTGAGGCTCAAAATCTTGGAGCCCTATCAGCAAGGCAGTGCTGATATTTTTCTCATGATAAAGTCATTATTTTTCATGCCTTGCCCTTTTCTTTTCACACCTGGGTTGTTTCAGTTGGTTTCTAGAATCTAATCATCTGACATATATATATATATATATATATATATATATATATATATTTTTTAGTCTAGTTGTGGAGGATGTCGCTTCACTGTCCCATGTTGGTATTATTATTGCGCTCTTCCCGGGTGAGGCAGTCACTCGCTGGCCACTGGATGGCCGCTCATGGTGGCTTACAGCAGCTCACGGCAGCTCACGGCAGCTCACGCCCGCTGCTGACCAGCCCACTGCAGCCTACGCTGTCACCGGCGACTCACAGCAGCCGAGCTCCAGGTTGAGCTGTTGTTCATCATCTTAGCTGTAGAGGGCAGTGTCACTGGCCCTCATGTGGGATCCAAACCAGGGCCCTGCTGCTCAGAGCTGGCGTCCCAAGCCAGCTCTTAACCAACGCGCCACTCGGCCGGCCCCTGACTTATATTTGAAGTAACACGAGTTTGATCCTGTCACTCCTCTATTCAGAATCGTTTAATAACTTGCCATTCATTACAGGATGAAATCCAAACTCATCTCCAAGGTTCCCCTGATCCTGGCTGCAGACAGCTCCCCAGCATAAAAGTTCTGTCCCAGCCAGCCCAGCTCACTGGGGCTTGAACACAGCTTCTCTCTTTTTACTTCGAAGCCTTTCTCAGGCTGCTTCCCACACCTGGAATCCCCTCTTCACCTACTTTATTTATGCTTAAGGGCCAGATAAAAAGCTCCACCTGACTGTGATCCCTGGCCCTTCCAACACACAGCGGCACCTTGCCTCACTGAACCAGTAGCACACAGTTGTAATACTTAAGTATCCATCCCTTTGTGATTTTAAAAAATTATATTTCCCTTCTTACGTTGCTAAGCTTCCTATGTGTGTCTGTTTTTGAATCCCTAATGTGATCACTAATTCCTACAACACGGGAACTGTGCGTATGCAGCATTTCTTTGTATTAACCACTGGCTTATACTTATCACAGTATAAGTATTATACTTATAAGTGTTACTTGGCACAGGCCTCCCAAGGAATTGTTTTTCAGTAACTTCACAGAGCATTCGGGTTAGATTCAGAGAGACTGAGAAAGAGATTAAATTTCCCTCCAATCTGGCTGGATGTGGTTTAAAACGGATTTTATTTGATTTAGCAAAATAAAGGAACGGGGTATTTCTCACACCCAGAGTTGAGAAATAAAACTCATAACTGATACCAGTATGAAATAAAGATAGTTTGGGCATATTAATGAATGTAAAATCACAGGTTTCAAATTTACTTGTGTATGCATGAGAAAATATAAAAACAGAATTAGGAATATACTTGGGTAAAATGCAGTGAAATTAGAGTAATGAAATAAGTGGAACTGGCCTCATTTTCAACTCTTTCATGTGCCAAGTTACAAATACGTTTATAGAAATTTTGAAAAATCTGGTATCATAACTTAAAATAATCACGTGTTTATCTGCATACAACATTGTGAAAACTTTAGATTCATGAAAAAGATAAATTAAGGCATACTTATTTTGACAGCAAAAGGATCCTTATAAAAAGAATCACCAGGGCCAGCCGAGTGGCGCGATGGTTAAGAACTGGCTTGGGACGCCAGAGGGCCCAGGTTTGGATCCCACATATGAGGGCCAGTGACACTGCCCTCCACAGCTGGGATGCTGAACAACAGCTCAACCTGGAGCTGGGCTGCTGTGGGTTGCCGGCGACGGCGTGGGCTACAGTCCCTGTGGCAGTGGGTTACCATGGGCTGCCGTGTGTGGCCAGCAGCCAGCGTGAGCCGCCGTCCAGAAGCCGGCGACTGGTGTGCCTCGCCCGGGAAGAGCGCAATGATGGTGCCAACTTGGGCCAGTGAAGCAACATCCTCCACATCTAGACTGAAGAACAAAAGACAGCAACTTGTCTGTTCCCCTTCCCCCAATTCCCCAGCACTGTTCCCATCCCCCCAATTCCCCAATAAAAATCTTAAAAAAAAAAAGAAAAATAATCACCATACATCATTATTAAAATGACAAGCTTCCCTACTCTTTTTTATTTATTTATGTATTTATTTATTAAATTGGGGGAGGGGAACAGTGTTAGAGAATTGAGGAAGGGACTAGCCAAGTTGTTGTTCTTTAATCTTAGTTGTGGAGGGCACCAGTTGCCATCTGGCTGCCCGTTGGCAGCTCATGGCTTCTAAGCTCAAGGTGCTGTGTTCAATCTTAGTTACTGGTGGTCGTAGCCACCATCCCATGTGGAAGTTGAAGCAGCAGCCTTGTTGTTAAGAGCGTACACTCTATCCACTGAGCAATCTGGTCGGCAGCTCAGCTCAAGGTGCTGAGTTCATCTTAGTTGTGGGCGTAGCCCACCATCGAACAGGCAGTCTTGTTAGGAGCACGTGCTCTCACCAGCTGAGCCATCCTGCCACCTGTTGGCAGCTCAGCTGCAGCTCACCTCGGGTGCAGCGTTACTGGCCCATGTGGGAATCGAACTGATGGCCCTGTTGCTCAGAGCTTGCACTCTTAAGCTAACTCTTAACCAACTGAGCCACTTGGCCAGCCCTCCTATTCCTTTTTAATTGAGTTACATTTACCAACATTAACTTCAAATGCAACTATTTATTTAATAATGAATTAAGCCCCTGTGATACTTGGAATGTTTTCCTTTTCAAAGACTCTATCCCTTTCTTTAAAGTTGGTATATTGAACAACATTTGCTTGTTTTTAGTTTAATAAACAAATACCACTCTGCCAATTTCTGTACTTCATTGAAAATTGATTTATTTTTATTGCATTTTATGGCACCTGGCCTATGTATTTCTAAAAGGTAGTCATATATAGAATATATAGAATGAAAAAAAAAGAAAATGCAGATATATGCTTTTACATAATTGTAGGACAGTTGTATGTTCTACTCAACACCATGTGAAATACAGCAGTTAGTGGGCGTAAAAGGAAACCATGTTCTCTGTTGTTGATTAATTGTGGATGTTGTATTTATTGTCTGTAGTTTGGAGTATTGTGCTGACAGTTTCCAGCTGTGGATGTGGGGAAGCCTGGTTGAAGTGTGTTCTTGAGAAGCCTGGATTGGTGCACATGTTCAGATTTCAATTGGCTTTGTAACCGGCTTCCTTATGTGCCTCATGTTGGCCCCAGGTTCACTGGGCTTAAAAGGAGCCAAAGCCCCGTATGGTTTTGGCAAAGGAAGAGTTGCCTCGGCCTCTGGGATGTAGGCATTTGGACGCGGCTCTGCAGTTGTGTAAACACCATTGGGCAGCTGGCGATTATCTGTTTCCAAGAACTCCTGCAAAGAATGATGTTTCAGTTTTTTGAAAATTCTGGTGAAGTCACTTCATCCCCAGGGCCCACCAGACACAGCTGGACCTGAGCAGTCTTAGGCCATGCTGGCCAATATTCCCCCAAAAGACAGGTGATTATGTGGGTGAAGTCACCAAACACACACACGTGTGCGCAAACACACACACACACACACACACACACACACACACACTCACTCACTCACTCACTCACACACACATTGCATCTCATTGGAATGACCCATGATGCTCAAGCATCACTCTGTTCCTGGGGTTTACAGTTTATCATTATCTGGTGGGTGGGCTCTAAATTCACTATATTCCAATCTCAGTATCTGTCGTCAAACACTAATTATATCCATGGTTTTGTTTTTGACAAAGGACAGTCTATTTCCTTTGGTAAGTCACTGGTGAGCAAATGTTACAAAGAAAGCGAGGAGTAAAGTAGGATGGGAGGGGAGAAGTAAGTAGTCAGCATCTTGCTTTGAGTCTCAGGGTCCTCAACATTCTGCCTGTGCTTCTGGAAAGCAGAGGAATCTCTAATAGCATGAAAAAGAATTCTAAGGAGTGGAGGCAGGCAAATGACAGCTGGGACACCATGGGTAAAATCTGCATGCCCTACAAAATGGAGTCCCAGGCAGTGTGGGAATCACAGATCAGACCCTGTTCTCAGACATTCTCTGCATGGCTTAGGTAGGTCAAGGATGACTACTGGACAGTCCGGGAGTGAGTTGTAGTCCCCCAAGATGCAGTCTCCATAGAAAAAGATGCCTAATTCCATTCTAAGAATATTGAAAGGTCGTGGGAGTGGGCAGAAGAACTGGGTACCCAACTTGCAGGAGGAACGAGTGATAGACCTACGCCAGCAGTAAAAGAAGAAAGGGGTGACACTGAGGCCTCCGATCTGCAGAAGGGACAGAGTCTGCAAATGGCTGTGACACCTATAATATGCAGGAGGTCTCACAAGATGCCGTGGTGGCCACAGCAGGTGGACGTGGACAACTGAGGTGTGGTCTGAGCAGGGGCGTGAGGACAGAGGTCAGAGACCTACAGATAAAACCATCGCCAGCCCAGTCACTGCCATGCTGGTGGGAGTCTGTAGTATTCCTCCCCCTCACCCCCACCCCACCCTGCAGCCCAGGGTGTGTGACTGTGGGTGGAGCCTGGTGCTTGCCAATATCCCCAAGGAGTATTATGGCTCTCTGGACTGTTGTACTTTGACTTGTCTACATAGTATCAAACAATCTCAAAACTTCTTTCTTATGACCATCGGGGACTACATGTGATACAGTGGGACGTTTTTCATATATTTTGGGAGGATTGAAACTCCTGAAAACAGCCCTTCCTGGCCTCTTTTCAAATGCAACATGATGCCAAAACTTACCCGAGACTTTTCAGCAATGGCCAAGTGATACATTTCTTCATCTCGAAGTACTTTCAGCCATTCGTTCTCAATCTCTTTATTGAGTGGCAGGCCCTTTTCTATCCTGGCATTGCAAGAGAAGATGAAGTCTTCTTTATCCTTGACTTCCTTTTGGAGTTCAAGGGCCAGAGCTTGTTTCATGGACAGCTCAGCAACACAAGCCATCATTTTTTCAGTAGCATCTTTGATCTTTCTCTGGTAGCCATTCATCTAGAATTAAAGAGCCCATAACAATGTATGCATGTTAGCCTATGCATGCAGTCCATGAAGAGCGGGAGAAAATGGCAGGCTGCTCGCTGTCTACAGTGGTGGGGGACGTGTTTGCCTGAAGGAAGGAGAGCTTAAGTGAGAAAGTATAGAAAATGAGAATGGGGGGAAAACCTCAGCGATTGAGCTCAACACCCTAGATATGTCAATAAGGACAAGGAGGGAAAATGTCCCTCGAGTTACCAGATGTCCAGGTGGATAGCATCGAGGAGAATAATGAAGTCTCTGTACTTTTAAGATGTGATGATGAAGAAAGGAGGATAGGGTGTTCCTGATGTCTACATTCTGGCCTAATTCTGCCATGTTATTAATTTGTCACTTATCCAGCAGAAAAAAATCTAATAGAACAACTATATTTAAAAGTTACTCTTTATTTATATAAGGCAATCAGCAGAGGTCCTGCATCTGAAATGATTTTTAATGGAAACGATCACACCTCAATGTGTATTTATTATTGATTATAATTCCTGGGATGCACAATTATTAGGTCATAAGCAAGCATGAACTGAATTGGGGAAAATCTAACCAATAATTTGAAATTTGAAATGAAATATTCTGGTTGTGTGTGTGTGTCTGTGTTTACCATTTCACATCAGCTATTTTTCATCAAAGAATGAAAAGATAGGACTAAGTGGAATAATTGATTTTAAAAGACATAAAAGTAGTAAAATTGGAAATGGTGACTCCTCTAAGGTTTCTGGCCCACAGCACAGCCTTTCAGGGTGGCTGTAGTCATGGTGGGGCCATGATCGGTGACTCCTCCCACCTGCCAACACTCTCTATCATATTATCTTGCTTTATTTTTAATTTATATCCTGTTTCACCACTGACATTGTATTGGGTTGTCAGAAAAGTTATGGCGCATTTTTGCAACGAAAAACATAGAAAAAATAACGTCATGACTTTCCCGACAACTCACTATTTTATATATATATATATATATATATATATGTATGTATGTATGTATGTATTTGGGTATTTGGTTATAGTCTGTCATCCCACAAGAATGCACTCTTCATGAGAACGAGGACTATTTGTTTTATTCATTATATGCTCAGTGTCCAGAATGGTGCTTGGAACCTATGCACCAAGCAAAAATAAAATTGAATGTCAAATGAAGGAATGAGTAAATTTAGTCTATTTTGACCTTCAGTCCTTTGAACCAGGGTAAATTGAGACATGAGTATGAGCTTCCAAACACCATGCCTGACCTTGATACCCTCTCCGCTCCTCGTAGAGCACACACTGGTCTGTCTGCACATTGGCTTTGAGGAATGTTGCCCCTAGTGGTTTACCTGCCTCTGAAAAGGCAATGACTGATTATTATGTATACACTTTGTCTCCTTAAGGGAGTAGGGAACATACATTTTTAAAACTCTTTTACCTTGCAGTAATTTTTAGGAAGCATACATTTAAGAAAAATGACTGCCATTTAAAGCTTCTGTGGGTCATTATCTCTTAAATTTCGTTAATCAGTCACTGGACACTTGGGTGTTGTGTTATGTGTAGCTAGCCAACCTCCCTTCTCTGTAAGTCAAAAAACGGATGGCCTTATTCTGGGTTGCTCTGGGTTTTTGCTGAGATTTTCCATGTTCTGTTCATTTGGGAAACTTGAAGAGAAGCTGTAAGTGCTCTAGGAAAGAGGAGAGGCTTGAGAAGACATGCATTCTTGCGGAGCACCCACGAGGGGTCAGGCCACTCCTGCTTGACTGTGTAATGTTGTTGCAAAACAATTTTCACTAGTATAACACCCATTTCACAGGTCAGGAAACTCAGTATTAAGATCACTTATGTATCTTTCTCAAGGTCATTTGTTAGTATTGATAAGTCACAGATATGGAATTTGAACATCTTTCTACCTTCTAGCTCTGCCTACTATGAGGAGATTATAATTTAATTTTTTTTTCTAAAGCCAGAGAGCACAGAAGGTGGGGAAAGGAAAGGGGTGATGAATCACTAAGCTAGAACTCAGTCATTCTGAAACCTTCCTGACCACATGACCGCAGTAGCCACCATCTGCATTTCCCTAGCATTGCTGTTGAGTTCCGGGAGACTGCCATCAGCTTTGACAAGCTAGCCAGCCCTCAACAAAACTGTCTCCAAAGACAGGGAAATTCGTTTTGCAAAAGGAAGGAAGGCAACATTGAAACAAACATTGGACATGCAATTTCAGGCAAAATTCTTGAGCCTAAAAAAGTCTTAGTCTTCTTATTTTATGAGGTAAAGTTGTGAATTGCATGAGTGCCACTGGTAGAATTGCACAGTCTACCAGTGTAAGTCATCAGAGCGGAAGTGTAAAAGCCAAATAAAAATGGCAAAGGAGGCTTGAAATTTACAATATTTTCCTATTTATTTAGTGTGCCAGAACTGTTTCTAGAATGAGACTGTTACTTATTCAATAAATGGTTTTCCAGAGTGTAGAACACGCTAGGCTTTGGGGAGACAAAGAAGAATGAGGAGCAGTTGCTGCCCTCTGGGGCCCATGATTTGTTTTCCTCTCTGTCTCCCCACTGTAGACGGTGTGGACAATGTGTGCCTCCCTCTCTGTTTCTGCCCCCATGCCCAGCGTGTGGGGAGCACATAGCAGGTTCAATAACTATCGCCAACAGACTAAAATCCCTGTGCTGTCACAGCGGGAGGCTCCAAGGGGCCACGGAGGCCAGGCGATGCTCTGACTGCCCAATGGTGCAAGGCTCTGCTGTCATCATCACCACCCTCCCTCCTGCCAGCCGCCCCTTTCAAGGTAGCTTCTGGCAGTCTCAGTCCGACCCTGTAGCTTTGAGTCAGCAGTCCTGGTGTAGTGCTGTAAGCTTTTGAAATTAGGACGCTCCATATTCCTGGCCTGTCCTCACTAGTGGGGCCCTGCGGCAGCTCCTCCCCGTGGTGTAATGGACCCCCGTTTGTGTGACTGCTGTCTTTAATGTCCCCTTCCACTCCTGGGTTCTGGCTGAGTTCCCATGCAGACCGCTGGATAAGTGAAGCTCTCCATTCACAAGGAGCTAGAAAGGATTTAACTTGGCACATGAAATATAAAGATAATGATTGCCATATCTGAGTAGGTGCCCCGTGAAGTGAAACTTGTATACTGTCATTGAAAGGCTTAGGTTTTTCACACCGTAAAGTGAATTTGCTCAGGAAACAAGACTGGAACTTATTTTGCACAATTCTCTAAGAGTCATCTTTAGGTTTTTCATTTTACATCTTTATGTTTCTCTAGTCATAAAGCCTAACCTCCCCAGGGCTTCCCTCCATAAACCAAGCAGTAAAGGAGTAAGGGCAGAAGAGGGCGGTCAAGGTCGCAGACAGACCTTCTTGGTTAGGAGCAGTGTGTCCTGCTTGCAGGTCTGAGTTTTGCTGTACAGCCTGTCTGTGAGCCGGGAGACCTGCTCGTAGATGAAATCCTTTTCCAGTAACTGCTCCTCCTTCTTGGCCAGCTGTAGTTCCAGCTACAGTTGAAAACAATTTCAATAGGAAGAGGAAAACAAAAGTAATGCAAGTCAGAAACTTCTTTCCTAATTAGAGCACTATTTCCTCCATTAATGAAAATACATTGCTTTCGTAGTTGCCAAGAGACAGCTAGAAAGTCTTTAGGGCTGGACTAGGTCAAGATTTCCCTTGTCCCCACCCCCGCCAGACAGCCACGCTAGTCCTTCCTCCCCAGCACAGAGAAGGGCCCTGTCAGCTCCATCTAGCTTCTGTGTTGACCTTCCTCTGATATGCTACCAGCAGGAAGAGAAATTAATCCATTCAAGATGTCAAAATTGCTCCTTTGGAGTATGGAACAATGGTAGGCATCTGGAAACCATGCAATTTTTGCTTCTTTTGGCAAGCATTTAAAGTTGAGAGTACCATATTTCCCCATGTATAAGACGCACCCTTTTATGAAAAATTTGGGGTCTAAAAACTGGGTGCGTCTTATACAGTGGCTGTAGATTTTTTTACTTGCATTTCCCGCTTTTTCACGCTTGTCTTTGCGCTCATTGTTTCGCACTTGTTACCGGTATATTATGGTAGGTTATGTTTTACCATGTTCTGCCCAGAAATGGCTCAGAAAAGATTTTCGTACAGTGCTGAACTCAAGTTAAAAGTGATCCAGTTTGCAAAAGTGAATGGAAATCGTGCTGCTGAATGTAAGTTTGGTCCTCCTCCAACTGAGAAAACAATCCGATTCTGGCTACAGGAAGAAGAAACCCTACTGAAAATGCCACGGCAGAAGAAGGCCAAGAGAGGAACTATATGAAGACAGTGATTCGTCATCAGACACAGATGAGGACAAGCTAATGGTTGGGAGTTTTGACAGTGATGAGAAGTTGTATGAATTTTATGATGAATAAAAGTTGAGTTCAATAACTTTATGTAATACATTTTTTTTTCAAATTTCGGACCCCAAAATAAAGGTGCATCTTATACATGGGAGCATCTTATACATGAGGAAATATGGTAAGTTTTGTTACTAGATTATAATTAAAGGACCATATTAATGGCTAGAATAATGAGGAATAAATCTGTCCACATAACATGAAACAACAATACAAATATCAGTGACCCTGACCACCAAGGGGCTAACTGATGCTATTTTAAGAAAGAATGTTTACCGCATCTAATTTTTTGATCATTTCTTCTTCGGTCATATCTTTCCCTGGAAGGAAGCGGGTTCTGTTCTTACCCTCAGGATTTATAAACTGTTTCTCCAGGTCTTTTATTCTGTCTGTACACTGTGAAAACTAGTAAACAAGAAAGAAACATTAACTTCAAAACTAACTCTCTTGCTCAGTAAAGGTTAAAATCAAGTAGACCAAGGTCTTTAGCGTCTTTCACTAGGACCAGCACAGGCAAAGGTGGAAGAGAACTCTTAACACGCGATCATGGGATGTAAGCAATTCCTCTGCTCACTCATGGAACTGGGAGGATGTCTGGAACTGACTCTGCAAGGCAAGGCGGTAACTTCTGAGTCAGCCCAGTAAAAGCTGAGTTTACAACCACCCTTTTGATTACTTCCTATTTCATGTTATCCTCATGGGATGTTGTGTGGTTGCAGAGCTCAAACTATACATACTTCACTTCTTTATTGCAGGTTGTTACAGAGGCCCAGGTAGACAACATATAAGGTAGACAACATAACTACACTTCAGTTTAAAACCCTTTGCTGGCAATAGCTTTAATGGTTTTCCCCCAAATAATAAAATTCTTAATTAGTAGATCAATACAATGTACAGTCTGCAAAGAATAGCCTGAATTATTTATCTTTTTGCCAAACACCCATTTGTATATCAATATATTTGTGGAATGGATGAGACTTTGGAGGAGGATGAAGAAACATGGCCACTCCCAAATAGAAGTAGCAGCCACACTGAGATTTTTGCCCTTAATATGGAATTAAAGGATGCACCTATATGTAATTAAGCATTTGTTGTATTATGATTAACAACACTTAATGTTTCCTTCTCTTAATTAGGAAATTAAATAGGAAACAAAACATGGTGCTTATTTATCAAAGCAGTGCCTTGATTGGTCATATTTCCCCATGGGCCTTTGAGGAAAAACTGTTTACTTTTTCCTTATAAAATAGTGTTCTTGTGTCCTAAAATAGTTTGTGTGACTTCCAAGATCCCTGAACAGGACCTCTTATTACAAGCATCAGGAAAATATGACTCACGATAATCCTTGGGTTATGCTGTTGGATGATTAAAAACTTTTTCAAACAACTGAAAAATGCAAACCCTAAGAGTATTCCAAAAATGATGCAAAAATGGGAAGACTTTGAAAAAAACACAAAACACTGCAGCTTTAACAGATAACAGGATATGACAGGATCCAGCACTATAAAGCAGGGTACAAAAATGGCTTGCCTGAAGCCAGAAATTTCACATCGAGTCCTTCAAAGTGCCCACGTGATTCATCCTAAATAGACAATTAAATAATTAAGCAAAGACTAATGGGGAACTTTATAGTCAACTGTTCTGAAGCTTAGCACTAACTGTGGTAGAATAGTAACTGGCAATAACACATAATCCATAAGTCTCAATTCATATGCAGTCAGAACAGTAACGGCTCCCATCAGGCAGTCCAGTACTGTTGTTAAATGCTTAGTATTGCCTCTTGGGTAAACTGAATTCATAGCTCACACCAGATAAGCAGTTTTATATAATAAAATGTTATATATATTTTTTTAGCCGTAGGTTTTCCCATCCACTTTTTCAATAAGTGTAGACTTGATTTAGATGGATTGGCTGAAACAAAAAATATATTTTAAGAACAACTAATTATATCCATTGACTAGAAGTATTCATTTGCAATTAACACAAATAGAATACTTACATAATAGAGAGTGAAGGTTTTCTTCAGTTGTGGATTTTATTGAATTTAGTCTTTTTGTTCTGCTGGGCATCTTGATAGTGTAGTATGAGCAAAGATGGCCCTGAAACTGTTTTGGGAAAGAGCTAGAGAGAGCCAAATTATTCTGTAAAATGGAATGAGACAAGTAGGAAGTGCCTGAGGGAGGGGAGGTGGTGGGGGTGGGGGGTTTGAAAGACAGAAAGACAAGCCAGTGAAATGGAGTGAGACTAGGGTGCTGCATGGGGTAAGACACGCAGGTGGTGGAGTGGCCCTACGGAACTTTGAAGGACATGGATGTCTGATACTTAACTTGAAGTTCTTTGCATTCCTGTAACGTACCTCTTACACCGTTGCTCCAAATCTTCAATAAAGTCCGTTCACAGACCAAGGCCTTGCCTGAATGGTTTTGTGTAGGTGCGGGCTGAACAAGGAGCGAGTCCTAAGTCTGCACTGACATGGCACCACAGTGGGCCAGGCACTGTGTGTGCAAGCTGATGAGGGGGCCCCCCAAACAAACCTCACTGGAAGGCTGAGTTATAGGAATCCTGAGGGGCTATGTGGGAGACCTGTGGGAGGTCCGGGGAATGTTCCAGACAATCCATCTAAGTCAGGGCTACACTTATTGAAGAAGTGAGTAGGAGAATTTATGGCTAAAAACAAATACTGGAATCAGAACCGTGGCATATTTGTGCAAAATGAAAGATCCTGTCATCTATATAGCATATACACATTCAAGCGACATAAAATATGAAAGTAGACCCATCATCCAGTTTCACAAGTCCTGTGAATCCCCGTGACATGATTACATTTAAAAAGCAGGACCCAAAGCTGTGTTTATAGCATGAGCTAATGAAAACCATTTATTTGTACACCTAGAAAAAGGCTAGAAAGATCTCTTCCTGATTTTCGATAATTTTAATAGAGATTATGTCTTGGGGATAGAATTTTATTTTCTTCTTTAAAATTTTTACATTTTTCAAAACTTTGTTAACTGAACATGTCTCAATTTTATAATCAGAAAAAAGTCTGAAAGCAAACCTGACATTTTAGAAAACTTGTTACAGATTAAAATTTGTTCCTACATCAAGTCCATGGAGAAAAGGTTAAGTCACAATTTTTTAGTTTATTTTTTTCTTATATTTTCATTAAGAAAAACCTGCAATTATTACATGTGAAGCAAGTAGCTTTATTTTCTTCCGTTTCTTTATTTGCTGTTTCATGTTTAAACTTTTTGGCTTTATTCCACGTTTAAAAAGGCCATGTCAAAGGCTAGGTTATTAAATTACAGGGAAACTACAAGGGTTAATAAAGAGCCTAATTATATGTGGTTGCCAATTAATAGCAAACAACAATCTCAGCTCCAGAGGGCAAAAGTACTAAAAATAAGAGAGCTAGATGGTCCCCAAGGTCTTTCCAGCAGACATAAAAAATAATTATGCTGGTGGTTGTAAAATAAATAATTTGAGCTATGGAGAAGCTGAGCTAGAGTTGAGATTTGGGATGGTCAGTATTCCAGGAAAGGCAGAAAATGCTTCATGAGGGGGAAACAAAAAAAGATAACCTGTAGCTCAGCTGCCTGAAGCTCAGGTTTTTCTAAAAGACATTCAACTCATGGGTTCTTATAGGTACCGGGAGTAGCATGGCTTGAGTTACATGTAAGAACTTATACGATCTACGAACCAATGACGGAGGAGAAAAAACCAGCAAATGTCCCAGGAAGTGTCTCCCGAACACTTGCCCACCTGGATCTGGAGCACTGCTATGTCGGCATCCAGGGACCGCTTTGCCGGCAGCGATCTCTTGGTCACGTGAATCTGTCTTTGCTTCTCAGCAATCTTCAGTTTCAGGAACCGGATCTTTTCATCCAGGACATGTATTTCAGTTTCTGCATTTAGTTTCATCTTCTCTTGGATATTTATTTTTTCATAAAAAATGCACACTTCTTCTTCCCGCTCTATCAGCTGAACACCGCTACGGTCAAATTGAGAGGCAGAAGCTAAGCGGGTGTTCAGGCCACAGTTTTATTAGTCATTGTGGATCCCTCTGGATTTGGGTGCAAACTATACAACAACATTGCATAATTCTAGAAGAAATAGACATACACCGGCGGTTTTCTAGTTAAACTCCACACTTTGAATTTGAGGGGATAGGAGACGGACAGCTGTTTTGTGTCTCGACTCTGAGCGGACCAGGCGGTTGGTGGGCACAGTTTCTGCGCAACTTGCCAACGGTTTCCTTGGACGAGAGAGAATGTCATTCCCCATGCACTAACAAAGTGACCCCGTAGTCTGATTTTCTGCAGACACTTTTCTAGGACCAGACTTGCCAACCAAGTTCCTGTGGGAATTACCCAGGCAGAGGGCCAGGGAGTGTGTTTCTACAGTGATTTTGTTCAATGTAATTGCCAGGCCAATTAGGTACTTTTAAATCTGACAATTTCTGATGCAAATTTTCTAATAAACAGGCAACATTCTGTCATTTATACTTATGTCAGGGCAAAGACCCTTCCTTATGAGGAGAGTATGGGGAAGAAACAAAGTAAGAAATTTCTGATTCCAGCCCCACAGATCTGACCAGAGCCTGGAAGCACACAGCCTAAATGCTTTGTTTTGTGCCAAGAGCCAAATAAGAGGACTTTTATCCCCCCAGAGTAAACACCTGCCAGCCCTTTGAAAAATGGCATTCTTCACCACCTTGAAGTGCTTCCCACACACTGTGCATATCCATTAGCCCAGAATTCATCTGTAATCGCTTCTATCTGTTTCTCTCTTCTCCTTCCTCAAAACATGTGTGTATTTGGCTGTGCTTGGCTACTCTTAGCTCTATATTTTGTCTCATTTGCTTGTTCATTGGTTCCTCTCATGATCTTCTCAGTTCTCTTGACAACAGAAGTCAGGAGCAATGCTTTACCACCTCATTATACTTTCAGGGTCTAGTACCTGCACAGAACACATAGTTTCCTAGAACAGAACACAACTGAGGTTTGGTGAAAACCAATCTGATACCAGATGTAGTTACTGGAGGGCTCTGCAATCTACATGCCAGGTTTCTCAAAGCACAAGCAACTTGGGAAATCCCCTAAAGTAGTAATTGATTAATGATATAATTGTGGCTTGGAACAAATAATGTTTGATGAGAAACATCTTACTTGATGAGAAAATGAACTGAGAGAATGGCTGAATAAATATCACAATGTGAACAAACCTGTCACCCAAAAAAAAAAAAAAATGGATACAAGATCCAAAGACTTATTTATGTCAATTTACCAAAGTAATTTGATGGTATGAAAGGCGTCCTGAATGGTTGTCTGGGAAAGGGCTTTGACTTCAAGTGAAGAACTTCCCAAACTATACTCTTGATTATCTCTCTTACAAGGACAATATTTCTTACTTTCAGGCAAAAACAAACGCCTACCTGCCCCTCCCCCCACCCCCCAGGGCTAGTGAAACCTGAATGTCAAATGTCCCTCACTACCCACAGTCAAGTCTACACAGAAAAAGGGGTAACATTTCTAAACAGGATTGGGGGTGCTTCCTTCTCACATTAGGTTCCTGGTTTACCTTTCATTCCGATGCTGAACAGCTCGTTCATATTTTTTGCGAAGCTGCACCATCTCCTCTTCAATGATTGTGATCATATGGGCAAGTCTGTCAATGTTATTTAACTGGGCTTCCTTCTTCTCTCTCATTTCCTGAAGTTTTACTACAATTTTGCACACGTCGTTTTGCATGCTTTCTCTAATGGTAACATTGTTGGCGTGTTTCAGCATGGAATTTTGTAGCTTTCTTTAAAAATAATGGGAAATGAGTAAGACGACAATTTTCTTTAGTTACTTTAAAAACAGTGAAGATTTCTGAAACACAAGCCATATCAAAGTAGCTCTTGCTTTAGTATATCCCTTGAAATGACAATAGTGGTAGTAATAATAATGATATTCATCATATGATACTCTTCAGGAATTCCTGTAATCCCCCCAGGTCTCAGATTCCCTCTCCATCCGGATTAGAACATCTTTCTTTTGTGCCCCAAACCTCTGCTGCCCCCCTTTATTGAAGTAAGAGACTATAGTAATTCATTTACTGCTCTCTTAAGACTGCTCTCTTGAAGACACAGATGGTATATCTGATAATGTCCATTGGACCTAAGGTGATGCCCGATTCAGTATAGCGTCACAATAAATGCTGAATTGCCATATTTCCCCATGTATAATATGCATATTAATTTTGGGGCCCGAAATTTGAAAAAAAAAGTATTACATAAAGTTATTGAACTCAACTTTTATTCATCATAAAATTCATACAACTCCTCATCACTGTCAAAACTCCCAGCCATTAGCTTGTCCTCATTTGTGTCTGATGACGAATCACTATCTTCATATATTGCCTCTCATGGCCTTCTGCCGTAGCGTTTTCAGTAGGGTTTCTTCTTCCTGTAGCCAGTCTCGGATTGTTTTCTCAATTGGAGGAGGACCAAACTTACATTCAGCAGCATGATTTCCATTCACTTTTGCAAACTGGATCACTTTTAATTTGAATTCAACACTGTACAAAAATCTTTTCTGAGCCATTTCTGAGCAGAAGGTGGCAAAACATAACCTACTGTAATATACAGGTAACAAGTGCGAAACAGTGAGTGCAGACAACAAGCGCAAAAAAGCGGGAAATGCAAGTAAAAAAACTACAACCACTGTATAAGATGCACTCAGTTTTTAGACCCCAAAGTTTTTGAAAAAGGGTGTGTCTTATACATGGGGAAATACGGTAATGTATGGCCTCTATAAATGATATTTTACTTTCTTGTAGGATGAGAACCTGATTAGGACATTAGATTTTCCTCTTTATACTAATCCCCTCCCCGACCCACCCCTTCACTACCCATACACAAGAGCCTATTGTATAATATTTGTAATATGAAAGGAAACTGATGGCCGCAAGGAAAATTTCAGGCTTTATAGACTCACTAGATGAGGGACTAAATATAAGTGAAAGAGTCCAACAGATGTTGGCACTTGGTAAATAATAGGTTAAAAAAAACAAACAAACAATCATTTGCTGGACACTTCTGAGTACTTTTACATGGATTAGCTCATTTCATAATAAAAAGTCCTATAAAATAAGGGCTACTTTTATGGGTAAGGAAAGTGGGCCCAGAGAGGTAAGGTAGTTTGCTCAAGGTCACACAGCTCGTAAGTGCCAGGACTGGGATTTGAGTCTAGAAAGCCACCTGTCTTAACCACTCTGTTGTACTGCCTCCCATAAGAACACAAGATGCTTCAAATCTACAGCAGGGGATGCGAGCTGATAAACATGTAGATTGTCTTCTAACTTTAAATGCAAATTATCAAATTGGTGTTTTTCTTTCTGACTGGGTAAATGAAAATAAATATAGTAAGCATAGTCTTATATTATACTTTTTCATTCACTTGAAAAATAGAGGGCTCCCAAACAGAAGATGACTATGGAATCACATTCAGTGCTTCGATTATCACCAGTAAAGCAAAGTGTCTGAGCAAGGGATTCTCCAACTTTGTAAAAGATTATTATTTTCTATTTTATTATCCCTGGGGTATTTTAGAGTTCAATGAATCCGAACAGAAGTCTTTGAAAGGACAATAGTTATTATAACACTTACCTTTCTTGAGTAACTGCACTATTTCTTAAAATTTCCAGTTCATTTAATGACATTTTGTGCCTTTCTTTTATTTCATTTACTTGCTGGTGAGCTTTGTGAAGTAAGTTAACAAATTTGTTTCTTTCATTTCGAACAGTGTCATACAGTTTAGCAAACTCTCCGAGTCTGTGAAAACACAAGTGTTTTTGAAACTTGTGAAATAAAGATTTGTCCCTCCCCTGCACCTAAGTAGATAAATCATCATGTAATTCTTTACCTCCTGTGAATTTCACGTTGTTTCTTCCTGTGTATCCTGATTTCAAGATCCTTTGCTTTGATCTCCTTCACAATGTTAGTATATCTTTGCTAAAATATAAAATTTATGTGTGAAATAATAATTTAAAAGAAGCCCACCACCATCAACATATAAATAGCCCCAGCCCCACCCATCTCCTTCCTATCCATAAGGAAAGTTCTATCTTGGCCAGTTGGGTTATGCAGGTCAGGGGGAAAAGAGAGGGAGAGATCTGAAAATTGCCTGGCCAGCTGAACTGAATGGCACTGGCTAGGACACAGAGTTAATTAAGGAAGTGAAAGAATGAGAGACAAGAAAAGAAAAGAGCCTGCACAAAATGGGTTTGAGGAAACGCTTGGGGAACTTTTGAGGCAGCCAAAGAGTGATTATGAATAGCATGGCTGGGCTGGGTGACTGAGGGGTTTGTGGAGGATAGATTAGGGAAGAGGATTTCTAGTAAGTTTTGATCAATGTTATGAATTGAATCCTCTGTGGTATTTTGTGAGAGACCGAAGCCATGATTTTAAAGTACTTTTCCATTCTTTTGTATATTGGGTGTGTTTTCCTACACAGTGAAGCACCATGCTGAGATCAGCCATCAGCCGTAAGGAGTTGTTACAGATGACACATGAATATTTTAGAAGACAGCACTTACAGTTCTAAAATCCTAAAAATATACTAAGTGCTAAGTACACTAGTTACATTCTTCAAATATAAAGATACTAGGTCCTTCATCTAGGGTAAGAAACACATTCAAAGATTAAGTATTTGCTGGTAGCAGCCAGAGGAAATAGTTTCTGTCAGTCATCCTTCTGTTGAGGACGGTGAGAGCAAAATCCATTTGGCATGAGTGATTAAAAAGAAATTAGGCGTCAGAGCCAAAATTGATGTAGCAATTTTATGTTGTTCTCAGTGAGAACAGAAATCAGGAAGAAACGAATATTATTTAAGTAACTATATGTGTGAAGAATTCAACAGATATAAAAAGTTAGTGTCATCCATTCCATCTTGGGGATAATAGCAGCATTGGTTTTTCCCTTCACCTTTTGTCTTTTTTTAAGGAATGTAGATGACTTGTGAAATAAAATGATAAGATCGACTGTTGTCATAGGGAAATTACAGCTTATTACAGCTAATGTTTAACAGACTAAGTCCCCATGCTAAGAATACTTAAGGAAAACAATATTTTCCCTTTATTGATTTCCATTTTTCAAGAGAAAGAATTGTGTGCTTTTATAGGAATGAGCTCATTTATAATAATAATGAGGCTTGGTTTACATAGATTAGCGACACATAGATAACACACATTTCAATTTTTGAGATTAATTTAAAAATTATATAATTCATAAAATAGATCCTTGTTCCTGGTAACAAGTGTCCCTCAGCCTTCTCCCCTCAGCCACGCTGTTTTCTCTGGCTGCCTTCTCTCCTGCATTCCTCTTTGGCCACCGTCTTTCCTTTTTTAACTCTGTGAAACCCAGCTACTCCATGAACTCTATTGGGCCGACCATGCTAAGCTCTCAAGTGTTCTAAGGGGGAGGGGGGGGGAACAAAGAGTTAATTTTTGTTTATTAACTGGAATTGGAAGCATTTGCTGTGGGTTCTGTGGTTTTCCTCAGTCTTCTCCGGAAAATCTTTATTTAACCTCATTGCTCAATAATGCTTTGATGTGAGTCCTTTCTGGAGAACAAGAAGAGGTGCTACTCCATGTAACTAAGTGCTCAGAATTAGAACAAAGGCTGCACTTAGAAACACCCAACATCTGGGCCACATGGTGAATTTAGGTTTTCTAGTTTAGTAATATGTCATATCATATTCATTTTTAAAAATTTTTATTAAAATGTAGCTAACATACAATATTAGTTTCAGGTGTACACAATAGTTAGTCAACATTTACATACCTAAAGAAGTCAAACAACAATCTGACATGGTAGCACATTATCACAAAATTGAACATATTCCCCATGCTGTATATTACAATCTCATGACTTGTTTTATACCTGGAAATTTGAACCTCTTATTCCCCTTCACCTTTCCCCCTTTTTTAACTTTTCAATTACAGTCGACATTCAATATTATTTTATATTAATTTCAGATGTACAGAATAGTGGTCAGACATTTATATAATTTATGCAGTGATTCCCCTGACTAGTCTAGTACCCACCTGACACTATACATAGTTATTACCATATTATTGACTATATTCCCTATGCTTTACTTTACATTCCCATGACTATTTTGTAACTACTAATTTGTATTTCTTAATCCCTTCACCTTTATCACCCTGCCCCCTAACTCCCTCCCATCTATCACCCCAATATACCTAGTACACATCTGATACCATACAGAGTTATTACAATATTATTGACCATATTCCTTATGCTATACTCTACACCCCCATCACTACTTTGCAACAACCCATTTGTACTTCTTAATACTTTCCCCCTTTTCACCCAAACCCTCCAACCCCCCTCCCATCTGGCAACCATCAAAATATTCTCTATATCTATGAATTTTGTTTGTTTATTTTGTTCTTTAGATTCTACATATAAGCAAAATCACATTGCATCTTTCTTTCTCTGTCTGACATACTCCACTCGGCACAATACCCTCCAGGTCCATCCATGCCACCACAGATGGCAAGAGCCCATTTCCTTTCAAGGCTGAGCAATATTCCATTGTATATGTGTACCACCTCCTCTTTATCCATTCTTTCATTGACAGACACCTAAGCTGCCTCCACGTCTTGGCCACTGCAAACAATGCTGTAATGAAGATGTGGATGCACATGTCCCCTCGAAGTTAGTATTTTGGGGTTCTTTAAATAATTACCCAGAAGTCCTTCAAAAGTCAATTTTCTCTGGTATAAGTATTGCTACTATAGCTTCCTTTTTACATTTCCAGTTTCATGAAGGGATTTTCCCAATCCCTTTACTTTCAGTCTGTGGTGTCTTTTGATCTGAAATGAGTCTCTTGTAGGCAGCATATGTAAGGGTTTTGTTTTCTTATCTACTCAGCCCTCCTATCATTTGATTGGAGCATTTAACCCATTTACATTGAAAGTACGTAATTGTTGATAAATATGTAGTTATTGCCATTTTATTATTCATATTTTTTATCTTTTTTTTGTCTTAAAGAAGTCCCTCTAACATTCCTTGTAATACTGGGTTAGTGGTGAGTAACTCCTTTAGATTTTCCTTGTTTAGAAAGCTCTTTATCTGTCCTTCAATTCTAATCTCAGGGAACTTTGCTGAGTAAAGTAATCTTGGTTGTAGGTCCTTGCTTTTCATCACTTTGAAGATTTCCTGTGAATCCCTTCTGGCCTGCAAAGTTTCTGTTGAAAAATCAGCTGATAGTTTTATGGGAGCTCCCTTGTAGGTAACTAACTGCTTTTCTCTTGCTGCTTTTAAGATTCTCTCTTTGTCTTTAACCTTTGCCATTGTAATTATAATGTGTCTTGGTGTGGGCCTCTTTGGGTTTACCTTTTGGGGATTTTGCACTTCCTGGGATTGTATGTCTATTTCCTTTGCTGGGTTAGGAAAGTTTTCAGTCATTATTTCTTCAAATAGGTTTTCAATTCCTTGTTCTCGCTCTCTTCTTCTTCTGGTACCCCTAAGATGAGAATGTTGGTACACTTGATGTTGTCCCAGAGACCCCTTAAACTCTCCTCATTTTTTTGGATTCCTTTTTCTTTTTGCTGTTCTAATTGGGTGTTTTCTGCTACCTTATTTCCCAAATCACTGATTTGATTCTCTGTTTCATCTAATCTACTATTAATTCCCTCTAATGTATTCTTCATTTCAGTTATTATAGTCTTTATTTCTGACTGGTTCTTTTTTCTGTTTTCTATCTTCATTTTTATGATTGTATCTCTTTGTTACAGTTTTCCCTGAGATTATTGAGCATCCTTATAACCAGTGTTTGAAACTCTGTGTCTGGTAGATTGCTTGTCTCCATCTTGTTTAGTTGTTTTTCTGGAGTTTTGTTCTGTTCTTTTCTTTGGGAAATTGTTTCTTCTCTCCTCATTTTGACTGCCTCCTGGTGTTTGTTTCTATGTAGGGCTGCTATGCCTCCCAGTGTTAGTAGAGTGGCCTTATATAATAGATGTCCTTTGGGACCCAGTGGTGCAGTCTCCCTGGTCACCAGAGCCGCGTCCTCCAGGTGTGTCCCTCATATAGTTGTATGTTGTACCCTCCTGTTGTGGTTGAGCTTTGATTGCTGTTGGCACACCAATGGGAGGGACTGACCCTTGGGCTGATGGGTTGTAAAGACTGGTGGTTACTACAGTGGAGAAGTTGTTTTGCATGGGCTGACCCTACAGAGCAGGGTTTACTTTAGCGAGGCTCTGATGTCTGCCCAGTCTGCCCTTTGGGTGTGTAGTCCTTGGATGTGGCCGGGTGATGCTCCAGGCTAGTCCAAAGCTGGCAACTGGGCCTCCCAGCCATGGGGCCTCCTGGAACGGAACCTGTTTGCTGCAGGCTAAATTCAGCCGCAGTCTGTGCCCTGCCCAAGGCCACTTGGCATGATCCACAAAGCAATCCAGAGATGGCTGCTACCCATGCTGGGCTTGGACATTCTTTGAGAGGCCAACCTGAGAACCAAGGCTGGCTGTTGCTAGTGTCAGTGCTCAGCCAGAGGTATGGGACATGATGGAGTCATGTGCTGCTTGTTTGGGTTTTGTGAACCTTTGAGAGATTTTAGGAATGTCTGCAGCATGAGCCAAGGCAGGCCGTTTATACAGAAAGGCCACTGGAAGCAGCTTGGGCATGCCTGAAAGTTGGGTGGGGCAGGGTCTCAGGGAATCACTAGGGCGGGGCAGAGGAAAGCTGATAGCAGCCAGTTTGATAGAGACTCAGATATGGCATCTGCCTGTGTCTGCATGCAGGGGGAAGGCTCAACAAAGAAACAATGGCTTCCACCAGCTCCTCCATCCAGAAGAAAGGTGCCCCTCCAGCCCTCACCCTGAAGCCAGACAATTCAGTTCCTCTCCATATATTCCAGGTGCCTTTCAAGCTGCTTCCCCTGTGCTGGAGCTCAGAGTGAGTAAGTCCATCAGAGAGTAAGTCAGTGCATGGGCCCTTTAAGAGGAGAGCCTAGGCGTGTAGCTGCCTTCTGTCTCAGCCACAATCTCTGCTGGTTTTCACAGCCAGAAGTTATTGGGACTTCTCTCCCTGGCACTGGAAGCCTGGGCTGGGGAGGGGCTTGGTCCCCTTGCTTCTGGGGGGGGGGGGAAGAGAAGTCTCCACAGCTGAGATATCCCTCCCAGTTTTTAATGGTCACATGTGGGTGTGTTCTGCATCTCTGTCCCTCCTACGAGTCTCAAGGTAGCTTCTTCTGTATGTCCGTAGTTGTAGGACTTCAGTTCAGCTAGACTTCTGGTGATTCTCAATGATGGTTATTCTGTAGTTTAGTTGTAATTGATGTAGTCATTAGAGATGACCACTGTGTTTACCTACTCTGCCATCTTGATCAGAAACACTCCATATCATATTTATTTTTAACAGGGAATCTCCAGACATAATCCTTAAGGGGAATACATTCTTTTGATATTGGAGTTTTAGCTAGCATGGCAGGAGGATTGTTTTTGCTATTGGTTTCACTGTTGTTTTGGTTTGGGGATGTTGCACTGGGTCAACTCTGGTACCTTTGTGGGGAGCCCAAGAAAGTCATGGAGTAAAGCAGTAACTCAGGGTATGCTAGCACTGGTTTAAATGATGCTGGCTTGAAGTACTTTAGAAGGAGAGTGGTCTAATGCTACCACTCTTGAGTTGTTCCTAGGCAAATTACAGTTGGATGTGAGATATATGTGGCCTGTGCAGCTGTCAGCTATGTCCACCACCTTATTTGTACTGAAATTGTTATCTGTTCAAATCCTTTGCTCACAGTGACTGATCCAGCTCTTTCTCACTCTGGACTGTTGACTATTGCTAATTGAATCCTGGGACTGTTTTTCAGTGCATAATTGAGTCTTGCTTTGGGAAGTTGTATAGTCACTGGAACTTGAAGGAGACTTAACAATTGTAGCTTTCTAATGAACATTATGTTAAAATGAGACTATCCTGAACTCTTATAGTAATTAATGGATGGTTACAAAAATGCAGTTACCTGAGCTTTCACGAAATCCTTGGATTTTTGCTCCTTCTCATCAATTTTGGCTTGAGTCATGCGGACAAGGCTGAATACCACCTCTTGCATGGTTTCTTGCTCCTTTAAAAGCTTGTTTTCTTCCGCAAGTTGCTGTTCTACTAACTTAGACTCAGCTTCTGATAGCATTTTCTTTTGAAAAACACAATATATTATAATTTATTTGTTTGGAGGAATACACTATGGCCAGTATTTTAGACTATTTTTTTATTTCCTATGTAGAATTTATTTTATTAAAACAAAAAGTAACTCTATTGCCTTAGCTCCAAGTTTTTTTATCTTATAAAAGAATGTGCAATATGATAACATGACATAACTTTTTCTTATTCAGACTGCATTTTCAAGTAACTTTAAGAAAAAGAAGAGACATAAAAATATGTTTAAAAATACTTTGACAGGGCTGGCCGAGTGGCGCGATGGTTAAGAACTCGCTTGGGATGCCAGAGGGCCCCGGTTCGGATCCCACATAGGAGGGCCAGTGACACTGCCCTCCACAGCTAAGATGCTGAACAACAGCTCAACCTGGAGCTGGGCTGTCATGAG